GGGGGGGCTCAGTTTTTGGACGCCTGCGTGGACTCCAGAAGCTCTCGCGCGGCGGCCGACAGCCTCTGCAGCAGCTGCCGGAGCGCGCCCTCCTGCTGCCCGGCCCAGGCCAGGCCGTCGTCCAGGGCCGCGTTGACCGGCGCGCAGATGGCCTCCTGCCGCACGTCCGTCAGGCGGCACGCGGCCGCCGCCGCGGCCAGACCCAGAATCAGCATGAGGAGGAGCTTAAACATCAGGCCAATGAGAGAGCGGCGTGGTTTGGGAGGCGGTTCCACAGAGACCTTTTTATCTGTCGAGATAAAAAAAAGAAAAAAGATATTAAAACAACTTTGGAGCACAACAAAAACTTGTTACTTTCTTTAACGGAGGATTAATCCCACCTGCTGCCTGGCCGTTCTTCTTCTTCCTCTCTTCGTTTTTCTTCTTCTGTTGCTCCTGTGCTGCGGCGGCCGCCATCTGAGCGTTGTACTCTTTTCTCCTCTTCTCCTTCTCTTCTGCCTTCTCCCGTTTCCGGGCCTCCCTCTCCCGGGCCTCCCGCTCCCTCTGCTTCGCCTCCCTCTTTTTCTCCAGCTCTGACCGAAGGACGGGGAAAAGCGTTTAAGGACAGACGGTGTCAACCTTCGTGTGATGAACTTGAAAACTTTAAACATGTTTTTCGGTGCTCTCTGCTTGTTTCGTTACAATCACTGCCTCTTCATCAACTCTTTACCTTTCTCCCTTAAAAGCCGCTTCTCTCGGGCACGGTCGACCTCCTCGTGAATGGCACTCATGTGATGTAGAACCTGGAAAAAACAATAACAAAAAAAACCACACACAACCTTTAGTTTTTGACGTTTCGGTTTTAATCCCGGGGAGATAACCGAGTCTCTTCCACCTTAGAGGCGCACTGTTTGCACTGCTTCTCATCCAGACAGTCTCCTGCTGCCTTGGCCAAGGTGGGCTCCAGCGGGTTGTCCTTCAGATCCAGCCACTTCAGACTCTGAGCACAAACACACACACACACACGGTTCACCCTGACTCGTTTACGGGCAGCCGTTAGGGTTCGAGGACACGTGTGCGCAGACCATCGCTCACCCGGAGCTGAGAGAAGCTGACGGGCAGCACTGTCAGCTTGTTGTTGTACAGGTCCAGGTGCTGGAGGTTGACCAGGCTCCCCAGGTCATCCGGCAAACAGGTCAGCTGGTTTTTACTCAAATCTAGCTTCATCAGGTGGGTCAGGCTGCAGAACTCTGGCTGCAATGGGGAGGGGGAATAGTTAGAAATCACGACAAAAGCCAGCAGGGGGAGTTTAAAGGGGTTGAATATGACAGGCTGCAAGAAAACTGCTTTGAAGGTTCAGGGGAAAATAGGAGCTGGATGGGACGCCCCTCAAAATTTTGACTGACTGTGTTTATAAGTGGGATCTGAGCACGATACTCACAGGAAGCAAGATGATGTTGTTACAGGACAAGTCCAACACAGTCGCTTTGGGAAATAAGGCCTGTTAAGAGTAAATGGTAGAAGCGGTGATTTATTCATGGTGAAATCACACATTTAGGAAGAACTTCTACCAAGATGATGCAGATCTAATAGAATGTGAAGTGACAGCAAATCTGCGTGGAGTTTAAACAAGCAGTGCATCAGCAGTAATGTGAGATTGATGTTGATCTTTTACACAAATATCTAGGGGGGAAAAAGACCTCGAGGGGGTCAGAAACTCACGAGCTCTCTGGCTGGCACCTCAGTGAGATTACACAGGCTCAGGTCCATCTCGTTCCCACTTATTTTGTCCTTCAGGTTCACCACTTTGCTGTTTTTACTCATTCTGCTGCCTGGGGACAGAGGGCACAGCTTAAAACGGCTGACACGAGCTGTCAAATGACACCAACACCTTTTCGTTAGCAGAAACCGCCAAACTTTACCGGTTTACGTGGCCGCTCACCTGTTACGGAAGCTGTCGTAAAACCGGGTCAAAGTCGGACAGACGACGGCCACAAAACCAGGGGATCCCACAGGCGAAGGTGGAGCAGAAACTTATATGAGAAGCCAAAAAACGTTGTGCTTTTGGCAAACAGATTGCCTCAATGAAAATCCACGTCACTGGTAGAGTAACAGCTGGGGGAGGCTGCGGAGGACAGCGCCCCCTGCAGCCCCGGAGGAGCCAGCGGAAACTCACCAAATATTCAAACTAGTACGATTAAATAAGAAACTCTGCAGTTACTCGTTCTGTTATTTTTTCATAATAACAGAGCATTTCTTAATAATCCCCACTTTTTTCAACCTTAGAAAAACAAGCTCGTGGAATTCAAATGTGTTTAAGGTAATGTTGGATGTTGTTTAACTACTACATACGTATTTTTGTGCATTTAAATGCATAAAAATGCCAAATTTAATGCATATATCACACTTCTAAAGAGAAAACACAGAAGTTATCTCAGGCATTCTGGCAAGTGAAAGACATTTATTAAAGACAATGTTGCAATTTCCATTTATCTTTTATCATTTATTGGGATAGCTGATTTTCACAGTTGTACACATCAACCAACTTTCATTACAGAATTATACCAGTCTTATGTGTCATCCCCAGCAGACGTGCATTAAACCAGCCCAGTTTTAGCTTTCCTGGAAGAGCATCTCAGTCATGGGTGCAGCTTTGTTCTTCACCATTAACCCAGATAGAAAACATACACACTAAGAACAAAGTGGCTGCCGTAACATAAAATACAAAATAAACTCTGTTGATGGTTTTAATCTTTTTGGTCCAGTAGCCGGGCTTCCCTTCATTCTTGCTGCTTTGGAGGAGCAGAGTTAGTAACCTCACCACCTCCCTCAGCTCATACGGGAGCTTTTCATCTGAATCCAATGTCAGTTGGCCGATGATATCCTGAAAAAGCAGTGAAATAGCTGTTAAATAGCCCAATAAGACAAATGATGCAGTTAGGTCAAACATACAACATTCATAAGTCAGGATTTATAGCTATGTTCAACTAAAGGTGAAAGTCTGAAAAGGTGCGATATTTAAAACACATTTTGTGTATTTGTTTTATACAATAAGTATTATCAGGATCTGTATGTTACATCTTTCTGACAATATTTCTCTCATGACCACCCTGACCTGATATTATGTACTTTATTACAGTTAAAGAGAGTGAGAAACTGCCTGATTTTGCAGTCAAATCCCAACCTGCAGCGGCTCAGCTGGTGTTCTTTCAGCAGATGCACCACAGATGCACGCACATTGAGTCCATTTTTTCTCCTCTGCAGACAGAATGAGATCATGAGTTTAACACTGATTTTTTTATCTTTTAAAAAGAGTAAAAATCTCAAATCATGACTCTTTCAAACTTTCAAACATGAGATATTGGAGACATAAAGCAAATGTGCTGCTTGAGTCTAGTGTAATTCTTTTTTAAAACAATCACAATTAAATAATCCTGAAACAAAGGTTTTACTATATGATGATGTAACAAGTCCCACAAATCCATGTATCAGTTATAAAACATATGCATCCAACAGGATGAAAATAACACTGAGCTGTAAACTAGCAAATTTCTTCAGGAGCAGAGAAATAAGGTTTTATGAGGAGCATTTTCCAGAAAACTGTCAAACTAACATGGCCATTTTGAAGTTCAATAACATATTTTTAACATTATTTATACAACTTGAATAAAATGCATTCTTATTTTGACCTAACAGGCACAATGGTAACATGTGAAACACCCCAAGAGTCTCCTTTTATCTCTGGGGATTGCATAACAAATAGCCCCATTACATGGTTGTGCACTTCCTTTTTTTTCTGCTGTGAATCTCACCACCCTCGCAGCAGGGAAGGTTTATTGCTCTGCCTTGGCTTTCATCACTGTGCTCTCCCACGCTTTGGTTTTCGTCTGTCTCGTCTTGGGATGCAGAGTCCTTCTCCATCAGATACATCACCAGAATCGTCTCCAGCAAGCTGAGCATCATCAGAGCAAAAATCCCAATGCAGTAGATAGCTGAGGATAGTGGGAGGATATCAAATAAATCACTTTCATCAGTGTACAAATCTTATGTTAGCCACTATGCACAGCTGGTTGCTGGTTGGTTCCGCTGCAACATCCTGCTTTTTCTTATTTATCACCCTCTGACAGCAGTAGAAATAAAGGAAAAAGACCAGATGCATGGACCATGTGGATCTGTTCATGTTTCCGTAGGATTCATGATAATATTCTTGAGGATCCCTCATAATCATTAATTTTTTCACAATTATTATTTTATTTATTTATTTATTTTTCTTAGTTTAACATTTATCGTGTTGCACTGATCAGCATACAAGTGCTCTTCAATCTGTGATAGCGTTTAAAATATTCCGACCAGGGTTTACCAATTTTCCCTCACAACGGTCAACTTTCCAGTTTTTTCTTAGAAAGCTGAATCCTGCAAGAAGCACATTGGACTTTGGTTATTTTTACCGATGAGTGGGGTCCTGTCTGACGAAGACGGCAGAATCTCATTGAGGATAAGTTGCATCACAGTGACGGCAAGCAGCACGGTGACTTTGAAGCTCAGCTTCTCGCCGCCTCTGTCTGAGATCATGAAGGAAGTGAGGTCCAGACACAGAAAGAAGAGGACAGGCACCAGGAAGTTCACGATGTAGAGCACAGACCTCCTTTTCATGGAGATCTGCAAAGAAGTGTTCAAAAAGGAGACGACTGACACTCACCCTCCAGCGCAGCTGCACTGTTAGATAGATAACACTGTACGACTTGTTTCTTACTGTATAAATAATTGTGTCTTGCTCAGATCCAAATGGAGAAACGGTTTTGTTGGTGACGGTCATGTCGACAAACAACCATTCATACTGAGTCCGCATCAGCTCACGCGACCACTCTGCAGTCACTGAAGAGTTCAAGTTGTGGAAAAGCCTTATGTCGTCAACTAAGATCAGAGACACACATACATGAGCCACTTTTACAAACTCAATAAAACTACAAATACTGGTAATAGTTTTCTGGTCTACAGAAATATAAATCTTTTGTTAACTGTGCATACTGTTTCAAATATTGGCTAGTTTTATATGTCCATTTTCTATCCACTTAATGTGATTTAGGGTTTACAATCCAATCTACTACAATCTTGTCCAGACCATCTGCAATGCACAATTATGACTAGACTGAGACATTTAAAATGACTAAATGTGTATTAAAATTGCCATCTACTGTACTTAGATGTATTGTAGATTTAGCAGCTAAATTCAAGTCATGTAAAAATGTTGAAAGGTCATACTTGGATATATAGATATCCAAATCAATATATTTCATTGTAAAATATATTGTATTTTTGGAGAAAACATTTTGGACAAAAACCTAATATTAGGTTTATTGATTATTGCACTGTAAGTATGACCATTTTTTCACAATAGAAATGTGATAAATCTAAACAAAAAACAATCCAAACAGAAGAGAATAGGGCTCACCTGAGTGAATGACAGATTTGAAAGAAAGAGTGCAGCTCTGAACATCAAATGGGAACTTATAAACCTGCATCCTGCAGGTGCTGACAAGGACCTGGTCATTCTGGACGTAGACTTTACCCGTGTTGTCAATAGTGAGATAAGGACTTGGAGGCGCTTTGTCTTTTTCTGTCCTGTGTGAATAGTTCAGAAAATGTAATCAATGGAAAGTGTCATTTGGTTACTTGAAAGAAAAGCAATGAAAAGTATCACAGTGGGCAGACACCAGAGGGCCTGATAAGTGAATGTAGTCAGTATGACTCCAGTGGGAAGTTTGCTGTGAAAAATGTATGTAAAAGTGAGTCTAAACTTGTTGTGGTCATCAGACTGGTCATCACAGAACAGGTCTGGATTTACATGTACAAAAGCACACTTTATTTATTCATCAACAGTCCACAGGGGAGAGATTTTGTGAATATTCAAACAAGTGCACAACATGAATATAACATACTTACATTTCCTCTATGGTCAGATCTGGTTTCCACAAAATTTCAGTGGGAAGAGTGATGCTCTCAATTCCACAAAAATCACTGGGATTCCAGTTAATATAATCATTCTGCCATACCTGCAGACAACAGAGTATAATTTCAAATGATATCAGACTTTAAAAGTGATTAAAGATTGGTTACATTTTTTTCAACGGCAAGGAGATAAAAGATCAAAACTCACCAAAAGAATCCAAACATAGGGAACAAATGTCTGGTCAATCTCTTTCTGTAGACAATAAAAATACATAAATCAAGAAGTGAATTAAATAACGGTGGATAATAGCAGATTTGGAGAGTTAATGAAAGAAACATATTCAATTACACACCTCCCATCTTGGTTTAATGAAAAGAAAATAGATTTGAAATATATATTTAAAAAAACGGATGAAACAACCAGATTTTGCAGCCAGGTGGTTGTCATGAGGACCATGGAAACCATTGTCATGGTCGTCATGAGGACCATCTTTATTTTCTACTTTCTTTGTCTAGTTTTAGATGATGATTGGTTAAAGTAATGCAGACATTAAATATGTGTCATTCCATTTGGGAAAGACGACATTGTCTACTGCAAATCCATCTTAATCATAATCAGTAATGCGAGTCGACAAAGTGTTAGGCCAGCTTTAATGGACTGCAGGGAGAGTGGCAGTTCTGGTCATAACATGCATTCATTTCATGAATCATGTCATTCCAGACAGTAATTTGGTCTAATCTTTTTTTCAATGGTTTGACTAAAACTGTATCACATCACGTTGTCAAATCTATACTTATCTCAGTGTATGTTTTGTACATCCTTGAAGAATTCCTTTTAAAGTATAATTTATATTGTTGTGGTAACATGTTATTAATTTCAGTACAAAACTTCTCACTTTCCTTCCCCATGATGCAACCCCCAAAACGTTTAGAATAAAATCCAACAAAAACAACTAACTCCCAGTTATAACAAAGCATCAGTATGAGCTCCCTCAGGCAACACGATACTAATTCTCAGTCTTGCTACAATACGCCACACTGTCTGAGGACCCACCTCAGCCTCTGTCCATTGTTGGAAATTGAACCGTTCCCAATAACATTCTGATAAGGAAGCCTTACCTGATTCAGTTCTGAATAAATAACAGAATACCAAAACCTTGACAAAACAAAAACCAAAGAACAAAAAGACCCAACTATGTCTGAATGTAAAAAAGGACAGTTTGCTATTGTTTGTATGGGCAAAAGAAAAAGAGATACAGCATCAGCAAACTGTTATAAAACTTAAAAATGGTTCTTTATCCTCTGAATTCATATCACAAATGTATAATTTAAATGGAGACAACTTGAAAATCGTTGACGTCTTCATGTGAGAAAATGGTGAAAAAACTTTGACCACTCACCACATCTAGAATAGCATAGAGCAGAACCTCCAGGAACACCTCTGTGGGCTTTTTGTAGTCTTTAACAGGCCGGGTGATGGAGAAGAGCTCGTTGGCTTTGGTCAAGTTCAAGTAGTTTAAGACATCATGATAACTACACACTTTATCAGACGCCATCCCACCTCCAACTTCAAACATTAAGACACAGCAAACACACAAAAAAGGAATGCAGATGTATGCGAAATGTCTGTTTTATAATGACAATGTCAGTGCGTTAAAGCATTAACTTTTAAGTTTGAAGTTCGTTCATCTTTCATTAGTCTCTCTCTATATTCTGTAAATAATAATCTTAGGATTCATGTCCGGAATTTGTGGCTACAGATGGATACTCTTAAGCATTTGTGGTGAACCATTAAATGATTTTTGTGGTTCCCTGACTCCAAACCAACTATCCGTTTCAGAACTATCTCCAATATGGTAACAAGTGCGTAATGATACTACAGATTAATCAAAACTAGCATCCTTCAGCATGCAGTGTGATAATCAGATGTAAATGTAACAGGTGTCTAGACAAAAACATGGTAAATATTCTATTAATTCAACTACCAAATGTTCCCCTTTTACTATCTTTTACAAAGACCTGGCGATTAATAGAAAATTAAATCCATCCATTGTGAGGTTAGCGTCACAGTAAGAGGTAAAACAGGTTCCTTACCTGTGAGGAGGAGAACAACGAGGAACTCTTTCGGCAACATTAGTGTAAAACCAGAGAATCCAGGATGTGAAATTGGTGCACAGCAAATGTGACTCCCCGGGCTGCCAGAAATATCAATGTCCTCACACAGGAAGAGGGCAGGACAAATTGAATGGCCATCCCTCCTTCTTTTGATTATCTATCCTCTTTTTACTTACTTGGTTGAAATATCAAATGCAGCCATAAGCAGAAACCATTTAAGATTAAAGGATCTTTATCAGGCCAGTGCTAGTCAGTATATCATTAAATGAATTAAATTAATTAGGGAAAGATTCAACAAGCTTTTTATATTAAGACAATAGACTTACTTTGGATGGTGAGAATGATGTTTGATAAAATTAGACTATTAAATGCAACACATTTGTAATATATCAGTTATTACTGTGAATCTTTCTAAGAAGAAAATAACCAAATAATACGTTGAAATTTACTGTCAGACAGATTTGAGGTTTATTTAATTTCATCATCACTGAACAGACACAAAAACAGGCATTTCACTTATTTAAATGTAAATATACTGCTTGTATTTCCTCTGGGTTTCAATTTTTTTGGGACTAGTACATCCTTTAACTGTAGCATAGTGGAATTCTGTCTCTTTTGTCAATTCAAACATACGGGTACATACAACATTCATTATGATTATTACCAATACAACCATATTGATATAAGAACTTTTATAAATGTTGTAATATGTATATGTTGGACTATGGAAATCTTCACATGTGACACAGGATAAACTACACTTAGCTTAATTCCTTTAAATAACTGCTGACTTAACTGTGGTTACCTACATATTTTTAAAAATCCAGACTTACTCTATCTTTATTCTTGACGGTACCATTCTGTAAATATATAAGTTAAAAACAGAACGGTTGCGGTGATGTACGAGACCGTGAACGTGAAGTTGATTTTTTCAGCTACTCTTGTCCAGTATCCACATGTCTTATCTTCGCTCCTGCTGCTCAGAAGGGTCACTGTTTTCTTTATCTCTCCCAGTTCCTCTGAGAGCTTTTCCAGTGAAAGGGACATCTCTGCCAGTTGGCTGCTGCCTCCCTGCAGAAGCAGGTTAGTGGACAGGTTAGGATCTAAAATCATGTGCAGTGACATGCTGCAATATGCTGCCATTCATTTGTGAGAGATTTCCCACCTCCTGGGCCACAGCCGATGTTTCATCAGGTGTTACTCCTCTGGCAGATGCACAAGAGTGCAATTTCTGCACCGCTGGAACGATATACCCAACAATCAGCATCAAAACGGTATCATCAATCAGTATGTGTCTACATTACAAATGTGTGTGCAGTTTTTAGAAGCTATAATCATCCTCACCTCTGAAACAGCCACTGAACTCAACCTGTTCCTCCTCTTTAGCTTCATTCAGGTTTGGATTTCTGTTTGGCTCATTATCCTGCGATGTTGCATCTTTTTCAATCAGATACATCACCAAAATCGTCTCCAGGAGACTGCAGAGCATCAGGGTGAAAGTCCCAATGCAGAAGACAGCTGAGGGGGAAAGACCGCATCATTAATGTGGTCAGTGTGTGCTGCACTTGATAACGAAAACGAGAAAGACTTACCAATAAGGGGAATCTTATCTGAGGAACAGGGAAGGATTTCATTGAGAAGCAGCTGCATCACTGTGACTGCAAGCAGCACAGTCACTTTGAAGCCAACCTTCTCCCCCCCGCTGTCCGACAACAGGATGGAGGCCAAGTCCAGACACAAAAAGAAGAGAACCGGCAGCAAGAAGTTGGCCACGTAGAGGACAGACCTTCTCTTCATGTTGATCTGTGTTTATGACATCATTGATGGGCATATCACATATTAACTGCTGTGAGACTGCCATTAAAACTAACGTGTTAATGGTACGCTTTTGAGTTCAAAACCAACTCATAGAGAAACACTTACTGTGTAAACAACCATTGCTTGCTTGAAGTCGAACTGGTTGACAGTTTTGTTTGTCACTGACATGCTGACGAACAGCCACTCGTACTGAGTTTGCATCGTTTCCCGAGTCCACTCTGTGATAACTGAATCGTTATTTTTGTAAAATAGCTGTAGTTCTTCATCTGAAATTAAAAAAAAATTAGATTAAAAAAAACTCATTTAGTTTTCAGGAGCTAAACAGGGTTGAAATGTATGAGTGCATTTGTGCGTCTGAGCTCACCTGAGTACATGATAGACCTAAAGGAGATGTTACAGCTCTGCATGTCAAATGGGAATCTGTAAACATGCATTTTGCAGGTGCTGGTGACCACCTGGTCATTTCTATATTCAACCCAGCCATGACTCTTAATGTTTAGATATGGACTTGGAGACGCTTTGTCCTGCTCTGTCCTGTAGGAGAGTAAATGAGAACATGTTCATTCACATGAAAGTGTTTTCACTTTATATGAGTTACCAAAAAGATAAACTGCTATTATTTAGTATAACTTTTCACTTTGAGAACAGGCCTCTTTTCTTTTGTGGATATTTTAGTGTTTTATAGCTAACGCTCATTGAAAAGTTCATGTGTGCAAAAGTCTACATGAAAAATGAAAAAGATAAATAATGTTAATGTTCAAAAAGCACATTCCTGCTCTACATTCCAAATATCAAAAGAACACTGAACACCTCAGATGCACACTTTTGTCAGAATATACATAAATTGCGTATGTGTCGCATAGAAATGACATCACGGGGCAACCGGCCTGACTATCTGTTATGACCTCACTTGTAATGGAACACCAACTAAACCGAGTCGTGGCGAGGCGAATATAGCCATGTAAGGCTGAGTAGGTCCTAATGGAAAAACCCCATTAGTGGTATCTGTGGCTTGGAACCATTAAGACCCTTTACTCTGCCACTGCAGCTGACGATCAAGTTCTCATTTCCTTTTGCATGTGCAGTGCACCCCCAGATCAATGACCCATTTCTTATGTAACGATCTGCTGAGCTTCTTTGTGTACAGTATATAACCATCCAATCCAATCCATCACCGTCAATTTTGATGTTAATGTAGATTGAACCTCAAGTAAAAGTAACTTTATGTAAGCATAAACTTACATCTCTTCAATCGTCAGATCAGGCATCCACAAATATTTTGCTGGAACTAATATGTGATCAAGTCCACAGAAGTCGTCTGGATACCACCAGATGTGCTCGTTATCCCATCTCTACACGGGAAAATAACAGTGGGTCACAGCAGAAGGTACGAGAGACGTTAAAACAGATTTATTTTCAATGTTCAAAAGAAAAATTATAAGACTTTTCGAAGAGGGAACTCACCAAATAAATCCAAATGTAAGAAATTAAAGTCTGATCAATCTCCCTCTGTGAAAAAGAAAAGAGAGAGATCTGTCAATTTGCAAGATAAACAACACACACAAAAAAGATTTGTTCCTCCTGTGCATCGTCTACGCAAATACTGGAAGTGATTAGACAAGAAGAAAGTCCACTGATCACAAGCCATAGTTTGGATTTCTGCATCCTGTTTGTAGTGGCATGCTTAAGAGGCCAGTTTTACAGTTCATGTTTGTACTTTTTGATCTGTGTTAAAAGTGGTTGACCTGAGGCCAGATGCATAAACAGTGCATTCAACTCCTACTATGTACAGCCCAGGATTGTTCCATAAACACAACATCTGTAACATACTCATTTGAAACAAAAGGCTCTGTTACATGGTGTAAATATTTTTCTGTGTATTTCCACTGTGAAAAGACTTTGCTGCCCACATTATGTGCCTTCCAGTCGGCTGGTTTTCTGTTTCAGATGTCAGCTGATGAAATTAGTAAGAAAGTGGGTAAATAACCAGAATGCTAACACTTACAACGATCTTAAAGAAACCACTTCTTTTTGGCAGAGGAGGTATTCAAAACATCGCAAATGAAAGTATTAGTTTTGAAAACTTAATACATCCAGAATAGCATAGATCTTCATGTCGAGGAAAAGCCATGTAGAATGACTGTGGTGCTGAACAGGCCGGGTCAAGGAGTACAAGTCACTGTTTTTGGACAGATTCAGGTGCCTTAAAACATCCTGAAAACTGCAGTGATCTGAAATGTTCACTGCACTTGCTGAAATATATCAAAGGACATTATGTATCACAAATTCAATCTATGAGAAGATATAAATATAAAAGGACACTTCCTATACTTACAACAGGTGTCTGTTTGGAGTTGAGGTATATCATACTAATGGCAGCCTCTGATCTATGTGTTTTTTTTTATGAAAGACTATGGCTGCTGGTTGATGTATTTTTTCAATGTTCACAAATTACTGTGATTACATCAAGGAATTGTGGCTATTAAATCAGTTCTGAACAGCTTGTATCAAATGTGATCATTTGCATTTGATACAAAATGGAACTCGTGAATAAATCCATTAATAAAGTGAATGTTGTTTGAATCTATGTCAACAAAGCAGAACCATAAAAATACAGTCCTGGGGTCAAACAGCACAAATGCAAATAAATCTAATACCAGTTTTTAGTGTTTGTTTCTTACCTCGAATCTGTTCAAAGATGAATGGAAAATCCTTTGGTTCCAGATTCTCTGTATAAACTGAGGCTGAAGGAGCACAATCATGGATGTTATTTTCAGGCATATCTTCTGCCACAGTATGCTAAAAGGCACATCATAGGTATGTAGGATATATATTTAACATCTTTAATATTTACAGTAACTGATGTTGTTTTGTACCTGGCATGTAGCCCATTGACAGATTAGATGACAGGTCACTGTCATCAAGCTCTTGTTGTTCTGAACTGGACGCATTTCCACCTGAAACAAAAGAGCAGAAAGTCTTCCTTTTCAGTATCGTGTGTAAGCATACCCAACCATGTCGATCAACATTTTGTTACTATTAAAAGTAATATTCAAAAATGAAAAGATAAAACTTTAACTAAAGACAGGACCTAAAGTAACTAACTACAATAAACTAAATGTTACAAGATGGAAAGTAAACATATAGAATAACATCTCTTTGGACAAAAGCAAGAATACAAACAAATCATTTTTCCATGACTGATTTTTGTTTAAAAAATAGTGCATAAAAACTACAGACTCATTTAAGACAATTTCCAAACAATGCATTGACTTTCACAACCAAATGTGAAAATGTTATGATTTATTTTTCCCCTGAATTATAATCACTAAAGCAAATTATATAGTTCCCTTTTAAGAATTGTTTCAAGTAAGTTTGGAATGTTTACATTCATGCAAAAAACAATGAGTAAACCATAGGAAAGCATACCATACTCTTTTTTTGCTTAACTTTTAAGAGCACATGTTCATGCACTTTACAGAAATATCCTGACTTACCTGTGAACAGGAGCAGACAAAGTAACCCTGAAAGCGTCATATCTCTTAAAGGTCAGCGTGGATCTCTGTCAACTCTGCTCTGTGTGCATATGTGTCCTTTTGTAGTGCAAGAGGGAGGGCAAGGCAAGTATAACAGCCTGTCCCACATTGTTAACCGAACTAATTGGCTTCAAATCTCCCTTTTACTGGTGGTGGTGACTTTTTTCAAGGTAATTAGGCATTTCCAGTGTCACTCTGAAAAATTTTGGCATTTTGCAACATTTCTTGCCACAATCTTGGAGGATTTAAAATCCACATCTTATATCCTGAGACATGTAAATAGGTAAAGCAGATCAATAAACACAATATTAGTTGTTTGTTTTTTTAAACTAGAGGCATCAATTAAGTCTCAGCTCATCAGCCTGACAGAAAAACACAAACTGCACCAGGAACGAACCACAAACTCCTGACATTGCGAGCTTATTCATCTATCCACTACCAAAAACCTTGTTTGTATGCAAAAATTTTACAAACGCGAGTCTAATATCGTGAATGTGATATCATATAAACCATCTCTTCAGTCAACATGGAAAAAGAAAGCCTTAAATGTGTCTCAGGAGTCCCAGGATTTTCCATTAGTTTAGCTAAAACCAGGATGTGGGAAGAAAAAGCTTTTAGAGGAACTCATCATGGTTTCATAGCAGAACAAGATGACAGAAACAAAACCATCTTGTGGCAGCAGCTAAACTCATTCATTGTAAGCAGGAAAGTCAGGACCAGCTGACTGGGAGTTGTTCTATGGGTTGAATTAGGGTTTGAACAAGGAATCTTTACATTTATTCTCCAATAATTTTCATCTAAAGATTAATTATGAGTCACGTTTGGTTGCCGATTTGTGCTCATCGTGAGATTCAGTCCATTTCTGTGCTGGCACAAGAGATCTTATGATGCCTTTAATTTCTATTATGAAATACTGCACATTTCTGCTATCAGGGCATAAAAAAAATCTCCCGTGGATGCATGCAAGAAACACAGGGAAGCTGGAATGCAGAATGGATGTGTACGAATTAACGTGATGTTCCTTCACACAAGCTGGTGTTTCTGAGAGAATAAAATAAATGTGTGAAGCTCACACTTTAATCTGACAATGTGAGGGTTTACAACAATATAATCCTGTTGGAAAATAAGGATGCATAACTCTGTCTACAGAAGTGACTGGCCAATGATTTTTCACAGCATTCATGTTTGTATTTCTCTTATTTTTTAAATCTAATTAATTTTGCCTTCTTTTGAATAATCTCGTTGTTCATTTGACTCAGATGCAGAGATTACCTGTTGATATTCATCCATTCATCAGATAAAACCATGGAGAGGGGATGTTTAGTCAGTGATTATTTTATTATTTAATGGCATGAAGTAGTAGAGTCCTCTGAAGAAACACCTTAAATATGTAACAAACCAAGTAAGAATGGTTTCAAAACATAAAGATTCCATGGAAATCCTTAACACAAACATAATCTGTTAGAAGTAATTTTGCAGCCTCACTGAACTACACGTTCAAGTGAGACGTTGACGTAAATGCAACAAAAAACTCTTGTATAAACATCGATTGACATAAAGCAGAAGAGACTACGACAACTGTCCAACTTGATTAGATACTTCCTGTTAACTGTATCTGTCTAGGGAAGAAGAACTATAGTGTAAATCATCTCTAAACATTATTCCACTTTAAGTAGATTGCAAGCAAGAACGAAATGGACACCGTCACATAGAAAATCAAAAAATATTTGTTGACTCTTTTGGCCACTTTGGTCCAATATCCAAGTCTCTCCTCTCCGTTCTGAGTGTTGTGAAGCCGGGATAAGGTTTTCTTAATCTTCTTTAGCTCGTCTGACAGCCTCTCGAAGGTTTGGTCCTCAATGGGTTTGCTGCTGTTCCCCTGCGAGAGCAACACGTTGACAGAGTTATTTAAACTCTTGCAAACTTTTTGGTGCGATTTAAGTGAAGCATGAATTAATGTGGAAACAAATTCGGACCTCTCTGGAAAAAGACAGCAGCTCAGATGGAGTTTCACTTGCAGACACTTCGAAGATGCTCGAACTCTGAGTCCATTTGTGAACCTCTGTAGGGACAGTTTAATCACATGGGGAAAAAAACAATCGTCAGGTTTTACAGTATGGCAGATTTTCCATCCCTGCCCATGCTCCTGAAGAGATTCTGTGAAGCTCGTCAATGTGCTTTTCTTGGACTAAAATTAGACTCTCACCTGTGTGGCAGCTCTGGAAGGGTCCGTTACTATAATTCATACATTCGTCTCTTGGGCTCTGGTCCCTCCCCGTCTCGCTGCCTTGAGAGTCCTTCTCTATCAGATACATGACCAAAATTGTCTCCAGGAGGCTGATCATCATCAGGGAAAAAATCCCGATGCAGTAAACCGCTGTGGGGAAAACGCAGTGCATCATTAAGGGAGACCAGAGATGCGCTGATGCTGCTCGGTGAGGGAAAGACTTTACCAATAAGTGGGACCCTGTTGGAGGAGGAGGGCAGAATGTCGTTGAGGATAAGCTGTAACACTGTGATGGCCAGCAGCACGGTGACCTTGAAGCTGAGCTTCTCGCCCCCTCTGTCTGAGATCATGAAGGAGGCCAAATCCAGACACAGGAAGAAAAGCACCGGAAGCAGGAAGTTGACGATGTACAGGAGAGGCCTCCTCTTCATGGTGATCTGTAAATGTAGATTTGACACGTAATTATTTTCCTCTCTGCCATTTTTATGGAGGTTTTTGTAATAAAAAACAGCACACTGCTAGTAAAAACACCTGGTTTATAGTTCAGCTTATAGCATGAGGCATCTTTAACACTTCCAAAACTATAAATGACCAGTAGCACGCATTCCGATATAACCAATATATCCTCTGAACAACCAGAGAAAATTGGACCTTTTGGTATGAGGGCCTTGGAGAAACGAAGAGAGAACAGACAATAGAAGAAGAAGAAAAAGCACAGCAGAAGGGTTATGCTAAGCTCTTCAAAACGACTTCCTATGGGTGTGTGTAAATGAAGCTGCTACACCTACAGTGTAAACGATGATGTCCTGATCAGCTTCATTACTGGCGTTGTTGGTGGTCACCGTCATTTTTATGAAGAGCCACTCATACTGGGTCCGCATCAACTCGCGAGACCACTCTGTGGCCTCTGAGGAGTTGTCACTCGCATGCAGACGAATGTCCCTGGCTGAGATGAAGACCGAAGCACGTTAAAGTAGCTTAAGGTAACCAAAGTAACCTCAACACAGCAGTAAAATCATCCATATTGAAAATAGATAACATATATTGCACACATCTTGTGGAATTTCTTGATGTAAACAAAGTCTCATCAGTTATCCAAACATAAATCCATGTTCAACATACAGTTCTTTCCAAACACTTTGGTTTAGTTCCCCACAAGTTTGACTATTTAGAGGTTCAGGAAAGAAAGGTTGATGGACACTGTGAACTCTAGCTGGAGACTGAAGATCTGAAGACCCAAAAGCTGACAGGTTTTTGAAGTCACAGATCAGGTTACGGTGGCTGTTTTCAGTCATTCTCCAATCAACTGATTCACTGACTCCGATCATCTCTTTGTGGACGACATATTAAAAACGTGCTCTCACCTGTGTGTATGACAGACTTGAAGGTGAGGTTGCAGCTCTGAATGTCAAAGGGGAAAGTGAATATGTGCATCCTGCAGGTGCTCACCAGCACCTGGTCGTTCCGGACTTCAACATCTCCTTTGTTGTTGACGGAGAGATAAGGACTTGGGGGGGCTTTGTCTATCTCTGTCCTGAATAAAAGCACAGAAACATTGACAAGGGCTCATCATTCCAGCCACAGTAACAATGCTGTCTGAATATAAGAATATATATTATAGAAATCTCAACACTTGGAACAACTGGTGTGAACAGACAGTGGAGCTTTTTTCCAGAAGTTTCATCTAAAACCCGAGCAGAACACCTTGTGGTTGGCGTAAGCTCACACATTTGCCGTAAAGATAAGAAAGAGCCAATGACTGCTATGACAAAGAGTAAACAGAGTACAGCTAAAGCATTTATTTCTATTTCAAACATGCGTCAGGATAACGATACTTTCCTAACAGCTTTGCCAATATTGAATGTGTTTGCTGTTTTTTCCTTTTCATCTCAACAGTAGGAAGGGATCATTGATCAATATTCCAGTGAATAATTCATGAATAGTTCTGGTGTAATCATCAAATTAATTTCCATATCTCTAAGTATCATTGAAGCTGTATATTAGTCTCTATTTTCAAATTAAACTAGGGATGAAAATGTTGAGCTTAGCAAGCATTTGTCAGGCACAATTGAGTTATGCACCTTATAATTGAATTGTTTACTGAAATGCAGCCAGAATCTTCATCATGTGAGGGTTGAGGCAAAACCGTAGACTTCACCACCCTCTAACAACACAAGGGTTTGAAAACAGTCAAGGTCCCAAATAGAAAGTGCTACGTAGCAGAAAGTGGAATGCTGAAAATTTTTTCTAATTTTTCCTCTACACAGAATCGGTCACCGTGTAATTTTAATTATCTAATAATAATTCAAAAAACAGTATACGCTTTCATCACATTAGGATATGTGTGGCTGTACTTTTAAATCTATACCACGGAGATCATCTCATCTCAGCACGGATTAAGGTTCAGACTTCAGTGACACATTTAGATTTATTTTTATTGACGTTGTGACATAGAGTGAGATCGCATGCTGTGTGTATGCAGGTGTCCAGTCACTTACATTTCTTCAATAGTTACATCTGGTTTCCACAAAATCTCAGTAGGAAGCGAGACATTATCAATACCACAAAATTGATTTGGATCCCAGGAAATATAGTCATTATTCCATCTCTAAAAAGAATCAAAGGAAAAAACACAAGAGTACAAATAAATGTAAAATACTTTTTTTTTAAACATAAAAAGAATATGCAATATAATCAACCAGATCTGAGCCTCTTTGAAAGGTAGCGCTTAGAATTAAATCTCACCATGACTGTCCAAACATAAGGAATGAATTTTTGGTCTTTTTCAACCTGTAAAGATTTAAAGTGGAGAAAAATCAAATGTTAATCCCTCATTTGTTGTGGTCACATCCACAGCTGAGTTGTCCCTGCACACGAACAAGGATTTTTGACACAGTGGATTGCGAGTATAAACATTCTATTATCCCTAATTTTCTTTGTGGGACATCAGTGTGCATGTTCATGTGGCTGACAGACATCTGAGGGGGAAATCAATGTGACACAATGATTTCACATGATGCTGTGGATATATAAAACCAGGAAGAGTCACAATTCAGAGTGGAAATTATTTAAGTGATCATGAGTAGACACTTGGACACAAAGCAGAAAGAGGAAGACACTGATTATAATGACCTCCTTGAGAATCTGCAGTAATAAAGATGAACAATAAACTTTCCTTTAGAAGCTTTAGACAAAAAGGTACTCTTACCACATCTAGGATGGCATAGAGCAGAACTTCCAGAGAGACCTGTGTTGGATGCGTGTAGTTTTTAACCGGTCGCGTCATGGAGTATAGCTCATTATTTCTGGTCAGGTTTAGATACTTTAACACATCCTGATAACTGCAGTTTGCCTCCAAGGAAACCCCATCGGCAGCTAAATAAAATGTAAGGTTTACAATAGTTAATCTCAGAGAACGAGCCCTTTTAACATCAATTCAGCCTTCAGATTTATTACTAGTCTGTTCTATTCAGTCAGTTTTCCCTGACAAACCACAAGAACACCAGCTCATAAATATCTTCTCTAATAGATGGTGATAAAGATGGTAATAAAGTCTGACTTATTTCTGTGATCATCCTTTAATGAATTGTTTCATTTAATTAAAAGCACAGAAAAAGAATGTCTGCCAAAAAAAAACTGATGTACATTTAATGTTATTATTAGACTTTCTTAGTATTAAGGTATTATTAAGTAATAGGCAACCTTTCCCTTCTTAGCCCCTGAACTTTGTAAAAAAACAAACCAAAATAAGGATTTCAACTTACTTGAAGTGAAAAGTAGAAAGAGGAAGCCGGCAAGTATCATGGCGTCCCTTAAAATCTGAGGCGTTCATGTGAATTATTTTCTTTTCAAAGCTGCCATCAAGTCTCCTGTGGGATTAATACCACTGTCTGATACTGAAAGGGGGCGTGGAAAGTGGAGCGATTGATTGTTAATGTGAATTTGTGGTTCTTTTCTCATTCCCATTAGTCTGACGGCGATCCATATATGCTGGCTACACTCACACAACATGCATAAGCGCAAATTCTTTCAGATTACAGAAGAAGGAAGCGGTCAATAACTCTATGGAGCCTATAGAGTGGTGAGCCAATGCCCAGTCACCACTCAACTCTTACTGAGACACATGCTAAAATACATTAGAAAATCAACAGTTTTAACAACTCTAACTCCATTGGAAATCATTATTTGGCATGACCACTGTTATTCTTTAGAAAAGTCTGAGCCTTCTGAAACAAGCTTTGAGTCCTTTCTCTTGGGAGTCTTCAGGAATAACTCTCCAGGCTTTCTTGAAGGAATTCCCGAAGCTCTCCTTTGGATGTGGATTTCTTGTGGATTCATCTATAATATGTGGTGCAGAAGGAAAACTGTTGAATTTAGGGTGAAACAGAAATCATGTTGAAAAGATCACAACTAGCCATTAACTAAAACGTAAAAACAAAGAACATCAAACCCAGCAAGACCCAATAACACCTAAAAATCTAACCATGTTCTGAAAGGAACAATAAAAAACATCTGAATGTCCCAAACATACAGAAAATATTCTGAGTGAGTAATATGAGGAATACACCGTCACAGCACTAGATCTCCGCTGTGATGAGCAAAATGAACGACGAGCATCGTCTGTCACCGCACAATTATGACAAAGAGGATATCAGGCTCCTGATGAAGAAGGTGATTGGTTTAATGTCTGAGTGATAAATGAGCTGCAGGTTGAAACCAGACAGATCAGGATAGGGCGAACAGATTGAATGATAAGATAACGAGGTCATTATCAGACGTCAGTGTGGTTACAGAGTCTGACTTTTATGTTTCCAAAATACCAACTGATAAACACACTTCACAGCTCTCTATGGAGAGATAGATTTAAGCTGCAGGCTGACATTATACACGATTGACTTGTTTGCGATGTTGTTTACCTGGTAGTCAGCGTTAAAGATTGCTTTTCACTGTATGTGCTATGAAAGAGTTCCAACTTCCCATTTCTTGGGTACAGTGAATGCAGCCTCATCTGTAGTTGAAGTTGGAAGAGATACAGAGGGAGAAGGAAGGATGGCTAGGTTAAGTTTAACAAATTAATTTAGCTCATTTTAATGAATAACATGTTATTCATGTTTGATATGGAATTAAGCAATATGCTATTATTCCTTCAGTTTAATGATTGTCCCCTGAAAGTGAGGATCACAAGGGAATCTGGCTTTGTTCTCTTTGGCTCCCTCTGCAGTTGTTAGATGTGAAGCCACCGTCATAAAAACAAAGGTCTGGCTTATGACACAGCAAAAAATAAAAATCATCGCACACCTCATCTTTAATATAACATGATACGTTGAACAAAGATGCTCATAGATATCAAGTACATGTATGAAATGTATATGTTAATTCATTTATTTAATTTCAATCCGCTTGCACACAGGATTTGCTTCTGCAGAGATGCGTCCTAACGGATAAGGCTTCTCTTTTCTGGCAGACTTGGCGTAAATTGACTCTGTTACTTTGGAAATTAGTGCACTCTGGAATAAGCACTTAATTGAAGAAAAAAAAAAGGAGCCAAAAGAGTTTAATGGTTTGTTTTATGAAAATGCTCTCATTGCAGTTTTTGGTCTTAACAACAACAAAGAGGAAAAATAACAAAAAAAAGAAATTCACAACATATCATCAAGGTAATAAACAGTTTATTCTTTCTACAACAAGCGTGTTTTGTCTATTGATTTAGTTTCGTTTGGGCAGATTTACGATACAGAATCGGTTTAAAAAGCACAGCTATTTTACACACATTTTCTACTGCATCTGCTGACTTGGCTAAGAATGTCTGCTATGGCTCTGATATTCACAAACATCTGGACAAAGACATGCTTTCTTGGCACAAACCTACAAGAAACAAGGTATGATTTGACTTGTAATTTCAGGTGTTCCACTCGATGAAGATGAAGGATAAAAACAGGGTCACGGTGATGACGTAGAAAGTGAAGAAAGCCTTGTTTATTCTCTCGGCCCTGTGGGCAGACTTCGCCAGCCCCTCTCTGCTGATGAACTGCCGATTCGCGGTTTTCTGCAGATTTTTCAGCTCGTCGAGGATCATCAGCAGGACGTGAGCTTCTCCGGTCTGGAAGCTGTTGTTCACCTGCACACGGAGACGGAGCTGCATTAGAGCGCAGGCCAGACTCACAAAGCCACAGTTATGATACGGGGAAATACTAAGACAGGGTTGAAGAAGGTGTCTGGTTTGAATGTCAGCAGAGGCCTTTCTATGCAGAGTGTGTGCATTGCATACTCCATCGTTCTGCCACTGTCCAAAACCCTGCTGTCATCCTCACTGATCATTCTGATGGACTTAATGGGCTCCTTTATCTTAACATCCCGAATACTTCCATTTTTTGTTTTTGTTTTTTGTGCATGTTTACTCTTTAGTTTTTAGTAAATGCGAGATGTGTTTATGAGCTCTGTTCCCCTTCACTAGACATGCACCAAAAAATCCCTGTAATGTTAATGTAGTAGTAGAGTTAAATGCTTCTCTTTCTGCTACTGCCGCTTAATGTGACACTAAAGAATGTGTCTCCCCTTACAGTTGTGAAATGTAATTCCACAGTCATAACTAAAACACATCTTCCTCTAAACTCAGCACATATACAGGCATATACATGATTTTCTTCCATGTGGAAAAAGCCAAAAAGACTCAATCAAAAGCAAGTAAAATGTCAAACAACTGTGATGCAAAACAGTGTGCGGCAGGGCGGGAAACCAAAGTCTTGACTTGCCCTATCTCAGTCCTAAGAGAAAAGTCCCCTACTTTGTATACTTTAATACTTGGCCTACACTTCTGATACTGTACCTCTTCTATAACAGGCAGGAGTTCATGCTGCTTTTCATTGTCTGAGACTTTGCAGAGGCAGGAGCAGCAGGTCTGTTTTTCTTCCTCTGAAAACACACGGAGAGCTCGTCAAGAAAGCAAAAACGCTGTGCATATATAAACTACAGCCACACAAAAAAAATGTGCACTTAGAAGTGCAAAGTGACTGAATTACTGTTCTTGATGTTGACTTGTTCCTCTGGGTCCTGGAAGTCGCCCTGCTGCCTGAGCTTGTCTTGGGACGGTTTTTCCATCAAATATGTTACCAAGATGGTCTCCAACAGACTGAGCAGCATCAGAGCAAAGATCACAATGCAGTAGGTTGCTGAGGGGAGGGAAAAAAGTTACACATTAAGTTTATCTTAAAATTCTCAGTGAAGTATGTCCCTTGAGGTAAGAGCATGTACCAATGAGAGGAGTCTTGTTGGACATAGAGGGCAGGATGTCGTTCAGGATGAGCAGCAGCACAGAGATGGCCAGCAACACGGTGACTTTGAAACCCAACTTCTCCCCTCGGTGGTCAGCGATGAAAAAAGAGGCGAGATCCAGAGTCAGGAAGAACAAGATGGGTAAGAGGAAGTTAATGACATGGAGGAGGGGCCTCCTCCGTATGCTAACCTGGGAAAAAGGTTCACAGATCAGATTAGATTGATGACATAAATACAAAGATTTTGACAATGTTGGAGTCAGAAACCTAGTCAAGAAGTTAGTTATTATCATGAAATACAAACAGCTCCTTTGGTTCAACATGAGCTGTATTTTCTCAACAAATATTTTGAAATATATCAATTTAAATTCAGTGCTAAAACCGTTCTTGGTAGAGTTGATTTGCTATGTTGATGGTGTAAAATGAGGATCCCTGCTTCAAGGAAGTTTTTCTTGTCTTGAAGTAGGCTTATGAGTTAGTACTTTTGAGCAATCAGCCTCTTACTTAGTCAGGTGACCCGGTGAGTCCACCAGAAGAGGCCAAATTTGTTGAATTGATCAAGTCTTGGTATCCCTTTAGCAAATATTTGATAGATAGTACGTCTTTATTGCTTTTCATGCTGCTCCTTGCTGTCATATATTCGGTTATCACTGAGGCTTGCAATACTTTTGGCAGCCAGCTTGCATGGATGTCTGTTTGTCTCATAAATAGAGACAAAAAAGTGTCTCATGCAAATGTGGCTTTACATACAACTCAGTTTATCTATATAATATTATCGCAAACTACACTGAAGGCATTGTTGTTTGACATTTTGAGTGTCCAGTGTCCTCTGAGACCATTTTGATTATCTCTCAATGTTTTTTCCCTCTTTCCCTGAAAGTCCAGACTGAGATCAGCCATCTATAGCACACAAGACACTAACAGCTCATTTAACTCCACATCCACAATTGCATCCTCTTTTTTTTATGCGTTTGCTGCGTTTATCTCTGATGTTGAGGCGTACAGTGTATATCAGTTGTTCCCAGTGTCTTTCATCGAAGCTGACATTGAGGCTGCCCACGGACAAACGCAGGAACTCCCACTCTCCCTGAGTCTTCATCACCTTACGGGAAAACTGGGTGGCCCGGGAGGAATTCGAGAAAGGAATAAGTCGAATTTCCTGAACTGTGTTAAGAGAAGAGAGAGAAACACAAAGTGCAAAGAGATGCGGGGCATGGCAACCACCACACTGACTTAAATGGAGACACTGCTCACTCACCGCAGTGTATGGCAGAACCAATGGAAATGCTGCACTCCTGTGTGTCAAAGGGGAACTTGTGGACGTCCATTTTGCAGGTGCTGACCACCTTCATGTCTTCATCAAAATAGATCATCCCATCATGAGACACAAACATGTATGGGTTCTGAGGGGAGTCGTCTTTCTGTGTCCTGAGAGAGCAGCACATGTTACTTTTCTCATTTCGTTTGTAGAGCACTTACACATCTTTCCATTCCACACCATGCATGAGCTAAATCAACTGATGGAGCACCTCCCACTTAACACCGATCACGTAGGTAACCAGGTCCATCATAAGTGTAATTATTCATATACATTCACATGATTGGGTTCACAAAAAAAAATTCCAGCTGTATATTACAAAACTGATTCTGATTAAAATCTGATGCAAATGTATGACTAATATTATATCATCCACATTTATGAATATCATCAAAAGATTCAGAGATCTGGAGATCAAAAATCACTTTCAAAAATCCAATTCACTTTGCCATAACTGGACTTAAACCTAAATTATAAATCTTCTATTTCATGGGAGCTTAAATTGACAGAGATTGCTGTACTGTCCCAATAAAGACACATGTTTTCAGTTTAAAAAAATCATTTGTATTTGCCTTTCATAAATTGTCTTAAACACGGCTTAATGTCTGTGTGCATCAAGCTTACATCTCATAGATGAAGAGGTCTGGTCTCCAGAGTAAGTCTTTGGGAATCGCAACCTCAGTGATCCCACAGAACTGAGCAGGGTCCCATGAGATGCGCTCATCGTTCCATTCCTGCAGTAAACATAAAGTGGATTAAGAGGAAGACTGAGCCACAGAGATAAAGAATACTTCAGCAGAATTATCAAATTAAGCATTATAAAGATTAAAAGTAAACCAATACAGAATTCAGATCATTAAAGATCAGTTCCGCTCACCACTGAAGCCCAGATGAACGGAACAAAAGTTTGAGTTTTCTCAACCTAGAAAATACAGTTGCTATCAGATCACGAGCATAACAGCGTCACCCTCATGAATTACACTAAACATTGATGCAGCTCCTACCACTGCCAGGATGGCATAAAGAATGATGTCCAACTTCACCAAAGTGGTGTGTGTGTGGTCCAGAACCGGCCGGGTCAGTGTAAAAGCACGGTTATCTGCAGTCAGGTTCAAGTAGTCCAGAACATCCAGGTAACTGCACACTTTACGGGAAGCCCCATCTGCACATAAACAGCCATCAGTGAGGTTGTGTTTTTTTTTTCTTTTACTTTTAAACTTTTAAAATTCATGTTGCATGCTTTAATTTAGGGGCTACATGCTGGTTCTCTCTGGGTCATTTACCTTCCTCCCACATCCCAAATACAGGCATGTATGGTTGATTACTGACTCTAAATTGGCCGTAGGAGTGAGGGTGAATCTGCTTTGTTGCTTGTCTCTGTGTGTCTCTGTCTCTGGCTCAATACTGAATTGGATTAAGTTGGTATTGAAAATAGATGGGTGGTATAATGTAATCATTTGCTAGGCTTTGTGGAACAGAAGTGTTATTTTGCATAACGCACTAGATGAAGGTACATTTTTTAACAGAAGATTTCTTCAAAGCAGATCTTTGTTCATAAACCTGTTACCAAAAAGGTTGCAGTGTGAAAAATGTATATGAAAACATGCAGTAATTAGTAAATTATTTAAACTTTGTGCTGAAATTAAAAAAAGCCCAATTCAACAATACATATCTAAAAGAAGATCCATTTCAAAACTGAACACATCTTCTCTGTTTAATGTTTGTGTTTTTTTATATTTGCCTAAACTACTTTTATGAGTCTGGAGAAAAAATCCTAAACAGATTTTTAAAATGAAACGCTTCTCAAAAATAATTTTGTTTTTAATTTTTTAAAGTTCTGTAATCCCTTTTGTGTTTAACTAATCTCCTTTGTGCTTTCCTAAAGTGAAGCTCAAATGTCTGAGGAAGGCTCTTGGCTTTTTTCCCTTTTAGATACTATATATCTCCTCCTTTAATTTTAGTTTTACCATTAGCAGTAAACTGGATAAAAACACAAACCAAAAATGTTGTTGTCCCCACTTTTCAGACCTACTCTTTCCACTAAAAGTATATGATAAAAAAAATGTCTGAGATCACTCGGACCACTATTTTTTATCAGTTTTTGTTTATTACAGAAAACAGCTACATTGCAAAAAGGATCGTAAATTAGATAAGATCCAAATATAACATAACAAAGACTTACCTGTAAGGATAACCAGGAGGAGAAATGCAGCGGACCTCATTTCGATGGCTGTGAGTTTGTCCAAACTGTGTGGGCTGCATCTTAAATCTCGGCTGAGGAGGGCTGGGCACGATGAATGAGCTCACCCACCCAGTGAAATGAGAAATCCCTCCCATGTGGACATCTATGATGGATGCTGTGCTTAGCTTACACAAGAGGGGACGCAGATGTACAGTATTGGGTACATATCAGACTTTGCTCTGATTCATATGACAAGCAAGATTGTTTGTGATTGTTTTAAGAAGAGAATAACAAATAACCGAGCTACGTGAAGGTGTGATGAAGAGCATTCATCTGCTCAGACATAGAGATAATGTGACTTCATGGCTTGCTGACACTGTTAAGAGAAACATTGCAGATTTGGTTCCCCGTACACAACTTTTGCAGCTGAAAACAGAACAGATGCTGCAGCACATGCAAAGAAGCCAACAGCAATGGAGATGGCAAAATGGAATTAGTAATGAACTTGATCCAAAAGACGATGTAGTAATGACATTAAATACCCACTTGTCCACATCGTTGTCTCCTTTCAGCCTAGCCTTAAAATGTATCTAATTTTTAAGGAACAATGCTCATCTGATACATCTATAGGCCAGTTTTGGGAAGCGAAATCATGATCTAAATCGGTTACTGTTGTCATTAATTTTTCGACAATCACTGGCTGGGAGGCTTTGTGTCAGGAATCATGTTTTGTGACACTTCTGTGCATGTCAGTTCTCACAGTGTAGCCAAAAACAATTAATTGTTTTTACTGTCAAACAGAACACAGAACACATTGCATGAAGAAAAATACTCTGCAACGTTAACAAAAACTCAATTAAGTTTTTTAAATGTGTTTTTCTCTCTCTTTTTCTTAACTTGTCATATTTATGTGAGGAAAATCTGACATCATGAGCTTTCCATTATTTTATAGTTTATCATTGATTGATTATGTGGGACCAAGTAAATGGGTGAGGGGATATCCACCAAAGGATATTGATGCGGATCAGTTGTGTTAAAGCAGGAAAACTCTGCCTTAGAGGGAAGAGTTTCCTGGTACGAATACTATTACATATTTCTGACCACCACCTTTATCCTATAAGGAAACATTTACATAAAGTTGGACATGGACTCTTTGAGGACAAAATTGCTCCAATAAATCAGGTCAAGGGTCACTAAATTGTTAAATGAGCATCAAAATATGTGAATTGTTGATGCACCAGCTGACATTTACAGACCTTAAACCAACACAATTGACATCATCCCTTCGCAAGAGTTCAAAGGCTTTGGAGGTGAACGGAGACATTTCTCGAGGCTTGTGGTGGCCTAACACCTAAAAAAGGCACTTTTTCAGTTGTTTATTTTTATCTTACAGTGTGTACATTTCCTGTTTAGATTTACAGTCCAATAGCACACAAATAGTTATACAACCTTGTAGTGTGGGAATTGGTATTTTTTGCCCTGGAAAGCATTAACCTCTGGGAAAAGCGAGCCAACCAAAACTTGAAAAATGATGTGTACACGTGTGAGGAGAGTTTCAGTAACAGTAACCATGTTAGGTAGCATTTTAGAGAAGCATTTCAAGGCTGTAGACATAAACCAAAACATTACCCAGCCCTGAGTAATGGATCTCTCTCTCCTATGAATCAACAGGAATCACTCAGTGGCTGTTTAGTTGCAAAAACTTTATTGTTAGTTTTAAGTCTTATTTGACATTTTCTCTCTAAAAAAGTGGGGTCTTGCAGATTCTTCTGATATCACACGGTGACTGGGGCCAGAGGACGGCTCAGTCTGCACATTCGAACTATGATCACATGACTGGTTGCAGCTTGGGTATAATAGTGCACTAGTCTTGACCTTAAGAGTTTGGCCAATGGAGTAGGGCGCCAGCAACCTATATAAAACACTACAGAAGGATATGGTAGCGCTCTCATGTTTGTGCAGTGATCCATCATCAAGTCTACATGAGGGTGCAGGGTGGCCTAGACTAACATGCTTACTCCATTTTTGCCTCATGCAACACAGAGTGCGTCGTCTTGGAATCGGCTAATAGTGCATTAAATGTAGATTTTGTCCCTTTTCAGTAAATCGTTTTTGTGAGTCGCATGTTTGTGTAAACCTTTACATTTTTCACATATTTTCATCCACATTCTAATAAACAACACAGTATTCTGCAACAAATTAAAACACATAAAACAGAGAGCATCAACAATAGGTGAGATATACATCAAGGTTATACAAAACCAAAAACAACTAAAAGCTTCACAAACGAGAGGAGACAGGCGCATGGGGATGATCAGAACTGGCGATTACAGAGATGGACCTCATTTCAGGTCCACTGCACGAGGTTTTTCTCACACAAATCCCTTTACAATGAAAACATTAAAAACATGAGAATTAAACACAATGAAAGGTTGGATTTTGAAGATAACAGGCCAGTGCAAACACAGTTTTCTCACTGCTTTACTGCAAATGAGATGACGATGCAGGCTTCTTTATTGCTTGGTCGTACTTGTTGATTTAAGTTGCACTACAATAATACTGACATGCTAAGATGGAGCGGCTGGCAATGTAGGACATTTCAAAGTCTGTGTTAGATTTCAGTTAAAGTGACAATATACATGCCACGTACATTCTCCTTCTTTATGATCCAAGGTTGTCATCCTACATTCTATGTTTTGTATCAGTTCGTTTCTGGTCGTTTTTTTGACGGCATTCCTTGGCTCGATTCCCCCCGAAAACAAGTCCGGCTGTATCTGAGTTCACATTCTGTATGGGTTGTTGTTTTTCAAAGGTGTGGTGTCAATGAGAGGAAAACTTGAAAGCTGCATGCAAAGTCGAAACAGCTCCCTGATCCGAAGAGAGGGGTGGGCTTGTTTTTCTTCAGAAAGGTAAGGTAGTTCGGTGAGAGCTGACGTCAAAGTGTCTGAACACTCGTTCAACACACAGTTTATTACAGAGAGGAAGTTAGTAGTAATAAATCCGATTGCCGATCACAGTAGCCCCTGACTGTTTGGCTGGTAATACGGTAAGAAGGACAGGAAAGAAAGAGAGATGAGGAGCAGCATGTATCTTTAAAGATAATGTCACAATACACAGCTCTCAATAAACCTACAGGTAATAAATAATAATGTAGCAGTAGGCTAATCATTCCAACAACAAGTAAGGTCACAGACAAGAAAATGAAGAGATAAAAAGTGCAACCAATCATTGAAAGGTGGTTCCTCTTTCTTCCTCTCTCCTTTCTTGAAGGGTATCAGAAACAGCAACTACATAAATCCAGAAAATGTGGAGAAAGGTGGGAATGTGTTTCACTGCTCAGCGAGGACAGTGTCCATTGATGCAGCACTATGGCAGGGTAAGAAAAGCTGACTCTGGACTGGACGGGTGTTTGTGTAGAGGTGTTACACGTTGAGCGGTCCGTGGCGGGGATGTTGAGGACTCTGGCCGTCCCTGCTCTCCAACACATGCTCCTCCAGGTTGATATTGCTGGTGGAGGAGCGGTGTGTGAAGGGCTCCAGCACAGGCCTGTAGCCTGCCAGGTACATCAGATCTGAATACAAAGACAAGAAAGAAAAGAGAGCATGTTATAAAACCATGACCAGCATAAGATGCCTTCGTAGAGCGTCAATTTAAAAAGAAAAAAGAAAAAAATATGCCGTTTTTTTTTATGCAAAAGATTGACAAACACTAATATTTTATTTACAGTAGAACCAAACAAAAAGGCTAAAAGTTAGAAAATGTATAATTTAATTGAGAAAAATATGACTACCTCTTGGATTTGGTGGCAGCAACATTTGGTTTGAGACCAAAATAGACCACAATGTTTGCAGAACTAAAAGGATTCAGTTAGAGGAACCTGATGCAACTAAATATGTTGACTGACAAATGGCCAGTAACATGACAGGGTATAAAAAGCCTGTAGGAAGAAGTTTGGTTAAATTAAATTATGTTATGATCGTTGTGTTTATCTTTTTTTTTGGAAGCATTTGAGCTTTAACCTGTGAAATCTTAAACTCATTTACTTTTTTTGTGTAATAAAGTACTCTCCTACAGCAGTTCTCAAATTTTGAAAAATAAACAAAATAATGACCACAGCCCCCTAATCCGCTCAACTGTTATGCAACTCTCAAGCTTGAAAGATAAATAACATTTTAATAGATATTTGATTAGTGAGTTATAATGAATTCTGAGAGAAAATAGGTAATCTTAGGGTGACTTGCATGATGATAGGAAGCTTTACTAAAACATAATGAAACTATATATAAATCAAATATGAAAGCTTTTGTCTGCTCTTTCATCTAACCAGAACTCCATACCTAGTCCTCAATGTGCACTGGGCACGACTCCTCATCTGTCCATCCGAAAGAAAGCAAAAGAGGGAAAAAGGAAGGAGGAGAAGGAGAGACAGAGGTAGAGCAAAGAAGTAGACAGGAAAATGTCCAGGAAAAGACAGAATAGGATGTGAAAAATGATGGAAGGGGTGGGAAAGGAGAGAAACAGAGAGATAACAAAACCTTTACGAAACATGTCACAACATCCACCATAAAACACCAACTGGGTCAAATGTGTTTTCAACAGAATGAGTGGAGTTAAGGTTTAAGGGTGGAGGAGTAGAAATGCTACGAGAATGATGAAGAGCTGAAGACTAAGGGGCATTAAACCTAAATGACACAGCTGTGACCACCACAAGCTAATTTACACTTCAAATATGAACTTGTTTCATTAACTTATTCGGTAGATAATTAAGAAAGAAGCCAAGAAAACCTATTAAATGTGTCAACGTGGGGTTTTCACAGTTTCTCAAAACAATTTCTAGACAGTAGACTGGAATGATTTTATTTTTGTTGCATTAGCAAGCCCAAACAGTAAAAAGCAACCAGCTCATGTGGACTTTTGCAGGTAGTAGAAGGTTTTAAACAATGATAGAAGTAAGAGAAAAACCAACCCGGACTCCAAACAAGGACCTTTAGCTCTCATCACAATAATTCACCGAGTCTGATGACGCAGAGAGGAGGAGTGGCGGAGGACAGGAGATGGAAGGTGAGACAATGAGGTGCAGATGTTTGGCAAAGCGGCTTGGAGCTGGCAGACGCTGAACATGAAGCTCACCATTTGTGAGAGACTGAATAGTTTCTCTCACCCATACACACACCGGCATGCAACAGTCAGTCAGACACACAAGTGAGATGCATTCACACACGCGCACAAACACACCAGGGCTTGGAAGGTTTGAGGACAGAGTGCACCAGCTAATCAGTGGGGGGGGGGGGGGGGGGACAGTGAAGTACCACAACACCAAAGGGTAGGGATGAAGAGAAGAAGAAAGGCTCTGCATCCTCATGCTGGACCAAGATGCTACGTGATTTAGCGCTAACTAAATTTTTCTGAAGAGCCTAAATTTTCATTAGCCTGTTAGAAAATCGAGCTAATGAGTCTGTATCCCTCCCTCATTTGACTCATGCACTCCTCACTTTTCATCTCCTCTATTCTCTGCTCTCATTGGTCCATGTTCGACAGGTTGCCACTCACCGGCGAATCGGCTGTCGGAAGCCTGCTCATTATCCAACCCCAAAGAGGGCGTGTCGCAGTGGGCGACGCCCTGATTGTTATTGGCCAACTCTGGACACCTGCTCCGCCCACCTGCAAGCGAGGGCAAAGGTCAAACAAGAGCAGCCAGGCACAGCAGGGCAGGAGAAGGGGTGACACAGGCAGGGTGGGGGGGTGAGGGAGGGGAAGGAAAGCCATGCTAGTGTGGCGATGATAAAATATTTCAATACTTGATCAGTCTGAAACATCAGGTGCAGAGCGAGTTCGATGATCAGAGATGTTTCTGAAAGTCCCTTCAGAAAACATTCAGCAAACTGACAAGTGCACGTGGACGCAAACTTGTTCTAAAATGGACTTTATATTCATTGTGATGAATATACAAGTCTAAAATCCATTCATTTTCCCACTGAGGAGCACATGGAGATGAATAAATGTTGCTGATCCATGAAGGAACCAGGCTAAAAGCCTCAAATATTTAACTAGACAGGACAAGAAATAGATACAAAGTGTAATATTGGGAGATGGTTTCCAAAGATCAAATAAATGCTGATTATTTTTGCTGAGCAAACCCATAGACAGTATGTCTCATGTGGCATTGCTATGTAACTGCTCCGGTGCAAGCTTACTATTAGGACACAGAGGAAGAATTATTGGGTGTAGATGCTATTGGAGAAGTCTGAGGGTAAAAAAAAAAGCAAGAAAAGCGAGTTCAAACTCAATATATAATACAAGCGCTGGCAGCAGAATATTAATCTGCCACGTCAAAGATGTGAGAACATGGAAGAGGGAGAACGAAGTGGGGATCAGTGCGGAGAGAAAAAAAGAGATAAGCAATTGGACAGATTTTCCCAAAGGCCTTCAGAGTGACGATAATGTGTCTGTTTTCTCCTCAACGGGTAATTCACCTTAACAATACAGATCACATCCCCTCTAAAAAAAAGTGTGGCTAGAGGGGAATGAGATGTTTGCTATATTCAGTGTGACCGCCGAATGCCAGCAATTGTGCACTTTTTTAGATGTTAATTGTTCACTTTGTTAGTGAACAATTGTTGTGATATTCTGTATATTTGGCACATTCTCTTCTAAAAAGTCTTTATCAGCATATTTCATCTGACCTATGTGAAGATGATTACTGAGACAGGCAACACAAGGTGCCATTTGCCTATTTGATCTCCTAATAATCTGTAATGAGGGACAAAGCTGCAAACCAGTTTGCAGAAAAGCTTGTGTGTCTGAATTGATTAATAGTTTAAACCCTTATGTAAATCAATAAGAAACGTTTTGGGGTATGATTTCAATCTTTTAATAAACAGTTTTGATATGCCATAAAAACAACCCATTTTACAATGACTCTCTCTCTCTCTCTCTCTCTCTCTCTTTCTCTCTTCTTTTGCAAACATCCTCAGTTTGTATCTCTCATTTGGTGTCTTGACACATGTGCAGAACTAACTGGAATATATTGACTTTGTCTGCTTTCTTAATTAAATAAATTGAATAATAATTCAGCTAAATTGGCAGTCTATGGATAACAATTTTCTGCGCTGATCATTATCTTTGGATAATAAATACTGACACGTTTGATATGTGTAACGAATGCCTGACGTCTGCAGAGAGCCTGAGTGTGTGAGCGACTGAGTGTGTGCGACAGAGAGGAGTGAATTGGCAGCTCAGCACAGCCACACAGACAGGGTCCATTTAGAAGTCGTCTGCACGTGCTCAAGCACACACACACACACACACACATACACACACTGCATACAGGCACTACAGGTCCACTCTTCTCTTAAAGAAACCGGAGAGTGTTTCAGTTCAGCCCGACGACACAACTCAAACACACACAATCCACACAGGAACTTGTTTACACTAAACTGTTGTGTTCAAAAGTGACCTTGTTCCATTTGCTTCAAGCCCAACTACAGACGCTCCCTTGCTATGGAACACACTTTCTTTAGCACTTCAGCACTCACACTTTCACACAGACACACACACACGCACACACTTGGGGATACGAGCTGCATTCAGAAGTCGTGCAGATGGAGTAGGTGGAGGCTTCACCATGCTGCAGACAAAGCAGCAAATCAGTTTAAAAGGCTTAAATGACACATTTCATACACGTGCAATAAAGATACAGAGATGCTGTTAATGCGAATGTTGGCAAATCATGCACATGCGAATTAGAAGCATGGTGCAGAGCAGAAGCTTGTCTAACGATGGGATGCGTTTCGGTGGGAGTGGAGGGACGCACTGATCGATCTGAACATTTCTGATATCAGTTTGTCCTCTTTTCAGATGAGTCTGTGTGTAACACGCCAGGCTGGTGGCAAAGCTCATCACTTCATTCAGTGGTGACTTCTGGACATGAATGCAGATCAAAGTCGGATCAAAGCATCTCTCCTGAGAACAGTTTGGTCTAAAATCGCCTCATCTGAAAAGAGCTCAGTTCTCACTGCGAAACCGACCACATTTTCAGGAAGCTGAGATACTGCACGTTGGCGTGGTTTCAGCAAACACTACAGTACATGCAGTGAAAAAAGGGGCTGCATCGTGTGGGGGACTTAATCAGCCATGAGTCAAAGAGATGTACAGACAAATCCAGTCAATCTCCGCCATATTATATGTCTTTTTTTATCTCTTTCCTCATGATCTGAGAGCAGCAGACGCAGAGAGGTGGGAGGTCTGGGGTGAAAAATGAAAAGACAGTCACCATAGTTACCTTTCCCATTAGATGGAGAGGAGCAGTCCTCTTCTGTGACATCATTTCCCTGCAGGAAAACGGCCAAAAAGGTTTAGTAAAGCGTAATACAGAGCACTGACCACGCTGTTCCTGTGTGGGCTCCAGTCACCTCTGAGTCCTGCTCCTCCACAGCCACTGAGTAGTTTTGTTCCTTTGGCTCCTTAGAAATCTCCTGCAAAAGAAAAAGATCCAGAGGGAGACAATTTTGGGGTGAGATGACACCGTCATCGTCATGTGGTCGTTTTATCATCCGTTTATGAACTCACCCCGTCTTGTTGCGAGGGTCCTCGGCTTTCCATGAGGGCGTCTTGGTTCTCCTCGCCCTCCATGTCTCCCCCATCGTCCCCCTGAGGTTCACCTTCAGCCCCGGCTAGATAGGACCCTGACATGGAGGACATGGTGTCAGTGCTGATGTGGGAGTGCTGCGAGTGGGACGAGGCCATGGACATCACTGACTGGGCGAGGCTGCTGCTCACTGGGTCTAACAGACAAACGGAGACACACATCATGACCCGGCTGAGGCTTTGGACTTCTGTTGTTTTTGTTCATTTGTTTTGGGAGCCACGTGAGGTTTTGACCAGTTTTAGAAAAGAAAAAAACTCTTAAACGAAGGCAAAGCAAAATAGTGAATTCCAGACAAGATCCCAAGGGAAGAGAATAAAGCATTTAGTCCAAACAAGTTTCCTTTCCTGGACTACAAAGCCCTCCTGTGGATTTCACATAAAGTCTGACGCTGTGACACCAACTTAAAACATGAAGTATTTATGGTAGCTCAGAAGGCTCATCTATTTGTGCAAAGCAAACATGACAAGTTTTATTAGCTGAACTAGAACATGTAGTTCTTAAAAATAAGATACAATTTATATTGTTCTCAGTTGTGATTAAAACATGTCTCCTATTAGGATTTCTTTTACTGTTTCATCAATAAGAAAGAAAAAACATGGTTCACAAAGTGATTCCATTTATCGTTTCAGTTCACTTGCGTTAATGACACTGTAAGAATTGTGATGTTTTAAGGGGCTACACTTCCTTTTGGGGACTTAATTTCAGTCTTGACTTTGAAAAAGACTTGGAGTGGTCATCCTTCAACAGTACAGTTGCTGGTTCTGCCCGTTACTTCCAGGGAACAAACACCAAAGTGTCTTTGAACCCATTGCTTCACCGAAAAGCATTCCATGAATTGAAAGTTGTTTGGATCATATTGTCTTGTAACTGAGAGTAACATAATGTTTGCTTTCTTTTTCCATCTTGTTAATAAATGGAGACGGCCCTTATCTTAGTCAGGGGTCTGTTAACAAGGATGTGGCTTGGAGGCTCAAGTGCCAGTTTACCATTTGTGACATATAATCCAAACTCATCCTTATTTCACTGTCATTTTAATTGGATTTGTCAAGTGTATGATTAGGCTCTTTTAGAAAAAAAGGGTCATTTTCTACCTAACATGAAGACTATCCATCCATACTTAGTAACTCCTTTGTTTTTAATATTTATCATGAGTTTTCATTACAACCAACGCACGAGTTTTATTCATGTGCGATATTTATGGAAATCTTAAAGCGTAAGACAGACAGCGAATCAATAAAAACATCCACAGTAGACAAAACCCATAAAAACATACAAACACACCTAACACACCCCACGGCATGAGATCAACAGGATTAGTTTTAATAAATCTTCTTTTGCAGAAGAAAATCTTAAACGGAGTACGTAATGCAGATTAAATGCACAGGAAGCTCTGAGTTAAGGTTACCTTCAGGGGAAGTAATGGTGGAAGAGAGCGGCGTGCCAGTGCAGGATGACTGATCGATGGCTCCAGACGAGGAGAGAGTCAGATTCTCACTGTCTGGAGTCACTCCGCACTATAAAGAGCAGAAGTGAACTCACAACGCTGCACAATCTAAAACACAAAAACAGAAACATATGGCTTTCCTCTTTTTCTCACACACCTCCTGCTGGTCCACTACCAGTTTGTGGCGGGAGGCGCCTGATTCACTGCAAGACTTCTCATCTTCCTCCTCCGGAAGCACAGAGGAATTCTGGGAAAGTGACCTAAATCGATAAAAGTAGAGACAAAAGACAATATTTTTTAAATCAAATTAAAAAAATTGTGAGGTATGTCTTTATTTTTTAATCAAAGAACAGCAGAGTACACTAAAGGAAACAAACTGCTAACCCAGAATCAAAAGTACTCCACTCTCTTGATGTTTTGGATTAAGATAAACGAATACATCCACATGTCCCTGATCTGTGCGCCATTTCATGCTGCGGGCCTGAACCAGAGAGATAAGTGCTTACTTCGATCCGCTCCTTTTCATTTTGAGGCCCTGACTGGAGTTGGATTGGTCGAGCGGGGAGAGGGAGCGGGCTGGCGCCGGGTGAGGCTCGCTGCTGTACGGGGGCAGCACTCCTGAGACGTGGCTGGGGCCGGACTGGAGGGGGGGGGGAGCCACTGAAGTGGTGTTAAGAGGCCCGTTCAGTGCCTCCAGGAGAGACACCACTTCGTAACCTGGAGGGATGTGCTCTGATGCCTGCCATGAGAAGGATACACTGGCATTAGACAACTTAAACAGGGAATTATTGTTCCACGCTGGAGTGACTGATGTGCACCGTTTTCCTCTTTACCGAGTGTTCCTCTGAGTCGGACGTTTGGGAAGTGATGACAGGATTGAAGTTGGTAGGTGACAGAGGACTGAGCTTCTTCCTCATCGCTCGGATCTGCAGCAAAGCTCTGAATGCTAAAAAGAAAAAACAGAAAGATTACAAACAGTTATTTAAAGTGATTGAATTTTTGGTCACATCACTGTCACCCCGAGTTCAAATCCCAGCTCTGGGCCTGTCTGTTCACTTTACAGATGACAATAAACACATGTGTTCCTTTTTCTGACTTTCTGTTAATCTTTTAAGATTATAATTTAGATTTTCATCCATAGATTTAACTGTAAATGTATTTGTCCTCATTTATCTATTTTTCTTTCATCATTTCTTTAATTTGAAAAAAGCATTTTAATTTAGAGTGGATCAAATGGGTCTCGGCTGACAAATGCATTGTGAATGTTAAACCTTTTGCCATTATATCCACCACCACCTGCTGAACAGGCTTTTGAAGTGTTCTGTTAATTAGATTAAAACAGTAAATTACATTTACAATTGAGAGCCTTTGTTATCGTGCTCACAATGGAGCTCTGCTCTTTTCGGCTTCCATCAGGTGGTCACTGTAATACTTGAATAGAGAATTATCTTTACCAAAGCAGAGATGTGGGAAAGAAAGCTTTAAACCTGCATCTGTGTCTTTAATACAACTGAAATCTCAAGTGCAGCGTTCGCAGTGTTACTGAGTTCAGTCCAAAGGATTAATTTGGGCCGTGGAAAACACTTTTGGAATAGCAGGTGTGTCATTTAAAAAACAGAGACTTACGTAGCCTGCAGATGGGGCAGCAGTTGGCCTGGTAACGCAGCGTGTCTGCACAGGCGTTGCAGAGACACAGGTGTCTGCATGGCAGGATGAGCGTGTCTCGTACGTCAGACAGACACACAACACACTCCGCACTGTTGTCGCTGATCTCATCGTCAGCAACCTGTACCCAGAAATCAGCAAAAGACTAAATATACATTTCACTGCAACAGCAACAAAGGCTGACATTTGTACTTTTTTTTTCAATGCTTCATAATCTCTGATGAAAGAGGACTAAAAACTGGTATTTTTATTGTTACCTTTGATTCCTGGCTGTTGTATTTGTTTTCTATCCCATAGATCTCTTGCAGCAGGTAGCTCACTCCATCCACCTGGGACAAGAAACAAGATTAAAGGGGGCCGGTCATAAAGGTCAGACATAAAATTCATGGGGAAACTGAGCTTTTGTCTTCCGAAGACATAAAAATTGAACACAAAAGGAGGAAGGAAGGAAGGAAGGGAGGGAGGAAGGGAGGAGGGAAGAAAAACAGGTATATTCACCACTTGTTTCTGTTTCAGGGGCTTAACACAGTAGCTCCCATCCATGTGCTGCAAAAGAAAGAAGCTGTTGTTAGCATCATCACCAATCCCCCACTAAAAATGATCCGCCATAAACATGTCACGAAGTGTAATATTCTTAAATGGTGTTGATTTAAAGATGCACGAAATTAAAACATTCATTTACCGAAGATAAATTTGCAATATAATGGTAAAAGCTGACTTTAATCCAGGTTTTTTACCGTGGTGGTTGTATTCATCTGCTTTAGCTCAGTCAGACTCTTCGGTTAAGTTCAACAAGTAATTAAAGCCAATATGATAATTAGAAAAGAGCGAGAAAAACCTTTGTCAAAACATATTTAGACGTTAAGAAGTTTTAGTTTAGTCAGTCCAGAGCTTAAAAAATACGTCTGATTTTTTTAAATCCTTTTGTAGCCATTGCGTCATTCATGACTCTGGATTCAGTAAATCCATTGGGTATGAATGACCCCAGAAGGACACACAAGGCTTAAATAAACATCACCACTAAGGCGTTGATGACAGACTTAATCTTTATTCAAAACAGAAATCAAGTATTTGCACTTAAAAAAATCTGCAAAAACCAGAAAACGCTAGAACTGGGACGAATTCCTCAGTTTAAGCTGGCGTCAGTTTATCATTTCAAACATCTGAAAAAAAAAGATCACGAGCATTTTCTTCTCGATTTGATCTATACTCACCTTTTCAAATGTGGCCAGAAGTATGTGAGAGTGGCCCATATGCTCTGTGAAGACATGAAAGTCACAACCGTTAGTTTAAATTCGGGGGCTTTACTTCCACATCAGGCCACAAGAAAGAAAAAAGCACAACCCATCACCTTCCCCCTCGTCCACGACCGCCTGCACAACCATGGGGAAGATCTCTTTGTCCATATCGAACAGCAGCTGTGGAGAGAAAGCCCGTGGGGGGTCAGTCTGCGCAGACTGGACACACAGCCTCGCACGTGCTCGTGCCGTGCACACGACACACGGGCGCCCTACCTCCTCATCGGCCCATTCGCTGAGGTTAACGGTGTGCGAGGGCAGGCAGAACTGCTGGCACACGCCTCTTTTGAAGTGCACCGTCTCAGACTGCAGCGAGCTGTCCTGCGGCAGGTAACTGCAGCCAGAGGGAACAAGAGCTCATCAGCGTCAGGACGCCTTCTACCTGCCCGAGCTGACACGTTTGCATGACATTGCCATTTAAATGCTGTGGTTGGGAGCCTTAAATAGATCTATGCCTACTTCCCTCTGAACAGAAACAGAAACACAGAGAGGTCATTGAGCAGGACATGCAGACTCTTCACAAAGCGTTCATACTGTATGTGACACGACATTGACTTTCAGGCCAGAATCCTTTTTGACCCGACCTGGATTTTTTTTTTTTTTGTTGGTCAATCTTTATTTTTCAGTCAGCAAAACAGGGTTACATGTCGCGGTAAAAAAGTAATCAGATCAATTTCTTTTTGTTGTTGTATGAACAAGAATTATAAAAACAAGGAACAGTATGGGAGATTAGACAAATAAAAGTGTGGGATGAAAAGGGGGGCGGCATATGTAACAGTATATGTATATTATTTGGGATCTGGTGGGAGAACAGGGTAAAAAAAACAAAGAAACCAGATACCGACACTCAAAAAAGGCACAAACCACGATCTTAAAACCACACCTTTACAAAATCTGGCCGCACAGACCTTTGTTCTATACTTTTTCATTTCATTGACCTCAGAGGTTACTGATATTATTCTAAGTCTTAGAAAGTATCTAAGTCTAAAGACCCGATTGTGGTCATTAACATTTCAAATTACACGTTATTTATACAATAACATGTACATATAGATTTGGATATGCTGTTGCTCTTCTGACTGATTAGAAGACTAATTAAAAAGACCAAAGTGAGCTGAGCAAAAGTCAGAAATGATCGAGCATCATGTTTCCCTTTCTTGGTCATGTTAAAAAACATGAAACGTTTACTTACACTGGAACTCCATTGTGAAACTCCTCTATGGCCTGGTAGTAAATGGTGATGGCCACCTGTGTGTCAGCGTCAAAGGTGAACTCTATGTTGTAGCAGGCCCTGTTCTTCCCCGCCGACTCGTCCCCCGGCAGCTTCAGGTCCTCGCTGCACCTGTGCACACAGAATTGGGCTTTTATGATGTAAACAGAAGGCAATGCCAGTATATCCATTTTTTTTCTTTATTATTATTTGAGCTGTGACTTATAATCATCAGTCATCCATCTAAAGAAAATTAACAATAAACATGGGAAGTGCTGCGATGGACTGGCGGACTGTCCAGGGTGTACCCTGCCTCTCGCCCATTGACCACTGGGATAGGCTCCAGTTCCCCCCGCGACCCCATGAGGGAATAAGCGGTATTGATAATGGATGGATGGATGGACATGGGAAGTGAGTGCAATCCTGAACATTCTTTTCTAATTTTTAATGTTAAATACAACTATTTTGTTTTGAGTTTTGAATTTGAGCCGTTTTGGTTCGTACGTTAAAAAAAATCAGTGTTTCAAAAAATGTAAAAATTCATTGTTTGACACTAGACAGTAGAATTAGCTACTGTGGTTAGTTTGTGCCCTCAAAATGGATGTAAGGCCATACAACGGGGGGTTAATGGCAGGCTGTGTACCTTACAAGCCGCAGTGTGTCCTTTCGAATGTTAATAAGGCTTCGTAACGTCTTCACTGGTTCCTGAGGTGGAGGCGCTGCATACGGGAACTGAAGACAAAAAGAAAACAGCAAATTATGGCTCTAAAATACATGTTATGAAAGTGAGGAGAGCCGGTATTCATTTGCTCTCAGCCGCCCGGCATTCCTGCCGGTACCGCAGCAATTCTTAGCAGCACGCCGACCGTGGCCACTCCGGGTTTGACCTCAACACAAACGGGCTTTGAGTTGTCAGCATGGGATCTGGTGCTGACCAATGCTGACCCTGAGCAAAATCCTGCTCAGACCGTGTCTTTCCAGGGACAAAACCGACACCTCAGACAATGTCTTTCAAGCATCTGCACCCATTTGGACCACAGGGGAGGGAAGTCCTGAGGAGGAAAAAAAATCCTCGAAGCTGCTAACAAGGCCAAACAGTAAAAGTGTGGCCCTGTCACATCGCTTTTAAAGTCAACTCAGTCTGAGTTTAACTTTTCCTCTAGCTCTCTCAGAGCTTAGTGGGAGAGCTGAGGTGGTTGGAGGATCTCGGGAGCAGAAACATGCAGGATGTGGTCAGATGCCTCGACACGACAACCCCTCATCTGTGCGCCCGTGTGTTTAAGTGTGTTTGTGCGGCCGTGAATGGCACCATATTCAGCACTATTACACATCTGGGCTCAGCAGGAGTCACGCCTGTTAACCACACAAACAAACACAGGGTAGCTGGAGCTGAAAAAAGGGGGCATTCATTGGAAGCTCACCAGCAACACTCTCACACAATCTTCTAACGGATTGAAAAACAGGAGTCAGACTTAAGTCAAAGAAAATACTGTTTTAAAGTTTTAAAACAAGAAGGTTGTTTAAATATTTAAAAATTCATTCATAAAGACTCATGAACATTTTTTTTTCCTCATCTGATCCTGTGTGGATACAAGGCTTAGCAACAACAGCCTCACATGCTATTCATAATGTGCTTTAATGAAAGACAGTGATTTCCATTTTGAATTTCCTCCTCCTGCTCTTCGCGTTAAATTGTAATATTATTTCTATGATGTAGTAGTCATTGCTTTACACCTTGCACTTTGTCTGATAATTGGAAACATAAATATTTTTGACAGCTGCATGATGTCAGCCCGCCACATTGACTCAGAATGTTGTTATTACAGATAAAGAAACACATGACGGCCAACTTTGTGTTGGAAAAACTGTGGAGGCCATTAGAAGTGCAATTAAATGAGCCCATTCTAAATGTGTAAAAAAAAACATGTTTTCTGTTTATACGTTTTAAATTCTGTGCAGGGTTGCACATGTTAATGAGAAGAAAGACAACCAAGAGAAAGATTTTATTACAGCAAAAATGCCATAGAAATATAACATGTTAGTATGAACCTCTTCCTCACTTCTCTCTCTCTCTTAATAAAATATCAAAGCTTTTAGCTCTGTTAAGTATCTCTATGTGTGCATATTCTTTAAATGTTGTCAGCTTGAACCTCATGATGGATTCATCTAGTGAGAACTGTAAATACCAGTGTAGAAATTCCCAACTATCTACCGAATTATTACTAAGATACTTCAGAGTCTAGTCAGCCAGCTCGCAAAACCACTCAAAATGTAGCATTTTTGTGCGCCTTAGGCAGGACTTTCTGAGAAATCCCTAAATATAGACCCCTTCATTATCATATTTGTCATGTGGTGCAGGAGGCAGAACGCAACAAATGCGGTTAGGTTTATGATTCTGCAGCACCATCTGCTTGGAAACCACCAAGCGTTATATAATGCTGGTAAAACACCAGACGCTCATACAAGAACAAAAATAAGTGTCACCAGCTGAATTCTGTAGCAGGATTATAAATACACACATCATCTAGGGAGGGGGGGGGCGCACTCCTAATTTTATCCGCAGTCTAGCCAGAAACATTAGTGTGACAGAGATTAGCACATAGAGAGAGAGATGGAGCAGAGTCTCCTAATGTCAGCTTCACTTTGTCTTGCACAACTCCGCCTGTGCCGAATTCTCATTTTCCTCTGTGAGCTTGAGTTCTCAGTGATTTGCTGCTCTCATTCATTGACCTTCAAGCTTGTGATTGGGTTTGAAATGACTCTCCAGACGAACCGCCTGTCATCGGTCTCCCTACACTGGGAGTCAGCGGATGGGCACTTCGTTAAAAATAATGAAACCATTTTCAATTAGCGACGGACTGATAGGCGGATAATTGCTTTTGCGAGAGTCAAAAAGTCAGCAAAAGCCTTTGATGCCGACATGTCCTCGGATCAATGCGTTGGCTGACCGAACAAGAAAAGAACAGAAAAAGAGGAAGAGCCGTTTCCCAAATGTGAAGATTATAAAGCAAATCAATGCATGTCATTACTACGAATTCTGAGAATGTGTTAAAAAATGAGCAGATGTTTCATCCATGATTTAAAAACTGCCACTCCGAACTGACAACCTTTGAAATGTCCCCTCTCTTTCATTAACTATGTGCTATGAAGACATCTGGTAAAACATTTGGAGAGCTAAACCAATTATTGGATCTCTATGTAAATGTTAAACAAAAAATGAATGTAGCTAAACTTCTGTTTTTGTCCATATAAAAGCATACAGGTTTAAACTTTCCACATTTGAGAGGTAAACCTGGCATTTGCTTGCCTTTGATTGATCAAACACGTTGATTTAGTTTCCAGCTAGGAACTACCATTAATTTCACCCATTTGTAAGATGGAAGTCAGTCATGGTGTCTCTCCTGTTTTGGTTCTTAAATCGGTGAGATTACCTACCGCTACTGGTCTGGTCCCCAGGAAATTAAGGTCTGTGTTTTCCCCAAACAGGTACCCCTCTGGATGCGTGGAATCAAACTTCTCTCCTCCCATGATGAAATGGCTGGCGAAGTAACTCCCTGAATGAACAAAGGTATCATGAAGAATCCAGTCTTTTCAACTCAGGAAAAAAGACACAGGCTTAGTCAGGAAAGACGGGGGTCTGCTCTGTTGTAGATGTGAAGAATTTTCTGTGTCAGGACTCTGTTTGATATCTAACCTGTGTTTCTAGGATACCTCATAAAAGGAGTGGGAGAAAAAAAATCAAATATCCAACTGAAATGATATGCCTGCTTACAGGTGGAGAAAAAAAAAGATTGTCCAACTGATAGCCGAGACTCACAGTTAACAGCAACAAGACTTAATGAATGCTACGTGTTTTAATAACTAGGCATGCCGATATAGGGCTGTAAAGGTGGTTCACAGGTTTGAAATACTCGCTGAGCGCTCAACAGCTGATGATCCTGCAGAGAAGAGCAGCATCACTGTCTGAATCCGGAAGTCTGGAGGTGCTATTCTTTTAGCCAATAGCAGAGTTTCAAAAAGCCCCAGTGACAAAGCCCCCTCTGTGTCTATCTCCTCATCACCTTCTCATTAATTACAGCACGTTGGAGAGATGGCCCGGGCTCGGGCTTTGTCACCGGATCCCACAGACAGGAACTGGGGCTGACAGATCGGTTTCACTGGCCGCAGCTTCCAGCTACAACAAAACTCTTCCTAAAAACTCCTCCTGCTGCTGTGGTGAGAGCACCAGCCACAAGTCACCAGGATTCGTCCCCTTTGGTGGATGCCTTAGTCCATGATCCCCCAACAAATCTGACACATTAAATATCTGAGCAAAATAACTACTCGTGTCCACATTGTTCTTATACGCGATTTTTGGGGCAGGTTCCAATCTATGTTACGTCTGATAACATGATGTTTTTGACGCGGTGTCACAGGATTACTGGTGAAGGGGGAGCCGGACACAACACAGCAATCAGAAAAGGCCAAATTATATGATGTTCTGAAGACATGCAGGTCAGCAGGAGGCCCAAAAGGCAGTTTGTGTGTCAGGTGGGATGGCTAAAAAAAGGAAAAAAGAAAGCGAAGCTAGCTAATAATTTCTTGCTCTAAAGAACATCAGGATCAGCAAAAGGACTTTGCATTAATAATAAATTGTGTAAGCCATTACACTGAGCTATTCAACATGCCCAGATATCTCTGTTTTCCTTATGCTGGAAAGAGTAGGTTGGAAAAATAAACCTCAACATTTCACTGGATAATTAGGTAATCTAAATCACACAATATTGATTTCTTCCCTCTTTTTATAAAATATAAATTAAATTAAACCTCAAATAGTCATTCCTGTTGTTGAGGCTTAATTAAATTAATATTTTATTATCTTTTTTCCCCATATTTTAAATATAGTTTGTGGAAATTTTAATCCCCCCCTCCCTCAAACTACAACAAATTACTGCAACATTACAAATCAGAGGATTAAATCGAAAAGGTCGATTTCCCTCCTGATGTAACATGTCTACCAATGATTGTGATGCTGATGTGTTTATTGTCATCCATCATGACGATTCATTTTCATTCAGTCTGATTAAGTCATGATGCCAGCCAGTCCAGAAAGTGAGGTAAAAAAAAGGGGTAAAAGTAGGGGGTTATCCTGTGTGTCGCACCCCCTACTTGGCAACTCGAACAATGCTGCATTACCAGGAATTAATTAGGATAATCAGTTAAACTATACATATGCATTTTCGTGAAACTGCAAGATGGCTCGTGAAAGCGCTGGCCTTTCCTAGTCCAGTCTGAGGGCAGAGATACTCTGTAAGGCCCATCGAAAACAAGGTATGATGGGGATGATTCCCCACGTCGTGTGTTTAAAACCCCACAATAAATCATCTGCAACGAGCCCTGGGGCTGTTCCCCATCCCGGTGTGGTGACTTACCAGATTTCGGTGGATAGCGATACACCGAATTGGACGGAATGTCCACTTCTTCCACGCCTATGTTCTGTCTGCTTGTTAAAGCTCCCATTTCCAGCCAAATAAAGAGCGCTGGGCTTAAGGGGCATAACACTTCAGGGTCGCTTTGTGCGCTGCGTCTCTTTTATTCCCTATCATTTAATCCAGTTCGTGCTGCCCTGTCCATTTCAGTCCGATCCGAGCCCCGCCGCGAATGTAACCGTCCCCGGGGGATTAGTAGTTGTTCTCCGGCTGCTTATCCCTCCGTGGTCAACAGTGCAGCTGGGTTTTGGAGACAGAAAGCAGCCCGTGATAGTCGCTTTAACAGCGGGGAAGCGCTCTCACGTTGCGCCGCGGGCGCACGATCGACCGAAGCCAAATCTCTCTCTCTCTTTCCCCCCTCCGGCTGTGTTTTTTCTTTTTTCTTTTTACTTCACGGGCGAGTCTTTTCTGGCACGAAACGGCTCGTCTACATCTCTCTGCCCCTGCCGAGTGCTGATCGAATATCCCCGGTGCTGGCCGTATCTGGATCCTGTCAGAGAGGTCTGTGGCTCCCCGTGACGTCAGACAGGCACAAATCCGGACCGTGTTTTTTGCGCAGTCCCCCTTCTCTCTCCAGCAGCCGCCAGTGACGAGCCGCTTTATGACGTGACCTCCCTACGCCGACTGGTAGCGCTGACTGCAGTGCAGAGGACGGCTGTGAGGGCCCGCTTCAACCTTAAAACAATATGGAAATAAAGCCTAATTGTGTAGCCAAGCTAAGCCTATTCTTCCACCCAAAGCAGAATCATAATATTAAGCCGGCAGTGCTCGGCAAAAAAAATTAAGCAATCATCTACATTTGAAATGTATTAGCTTTTAATACCATCGTAAATCCAATTCAAACAGCAAACAAAATCGGTGTAATGGAACAAAAGAAGACAAAGGGAGAGTGGCGTCTCACTGTTACCGTTACAAACTCATCCACGCCGACAGGGGGCAGTGCAGCGGTTAGAACAGGAGGCGGAAACCCGAACAGCCAATCAGAGGAGGCCACCACGGGCGCAAAAAAAGGGAAAAGGAAGCTTCGTTGCCGCCATTTCACGTGAATAGCAACGCGGTTGAAACTACGTGCGGAAGGGTTTTGTTCAGGAGAGAGAGCAGCATTAGCTCAAACTAGTCTAAATATCGTTTATCTTTTAAATAGTGATCGTTTCATCCGAAGTTAGGGCCTAAAGTTTTCGGTTTTCTTCGATCCTGTTGTTCGGAGACGACGAAAAAATGAGCTACGGAAGGCCGCCGCCAGACGTCGAGGGGATGACCTCCCTGAAAGTAGACAACCTCACTTACAGGACGTCGCCCGAGACCCTGCGCCGAGTTTTTGAGAAATACGGTCGCGTGGGGGACGTTTACATCCCTCGAGACCGCTACACCAAGGAGAGCCGTGGCTTCGCCTTCGTCCGGTTCCTCGACAAGCGTGACGCCGAGGACGCAATGGACGCCATGGACGGCGCGCTGCTGGATGGGAGAGAGCTGAGGGTCCAGATGGCCCGCTACGGACGACCACCAGACTCCATGTACAGCCGAAGAGGACCTCCACCTCGTCGGTACGGAGGTTATGGACGCAGAAGCAGGAGGTACTGTTGATAGGGGTCATCTCCACGAACTTAATTTCGTGTTGAACATTTTCAAAAGAGGCCCATGCGAGCACATGGCGCCATCGACGAAGAGTCTGTTGAGATGATCCCCTGCTCGACTTTGCCTGTAACTGTTATCGAAATCCTTGAATGGGTTGGGGGGGTGGGTGTATATTTGTGGAGGTGCATTAACGTAATTTAACCCAAATTGCTGCCTTTTTTCTCTGGTATCTAGTCGTTCGGCCAGCCCTCGCCGGCGCAGACGAAGCCGCAGCCGCTCCAGGAGCAGAAGCCGCTCTCGGTCCAGGAGCCGCCACCACTACAGCCGCTCCAGATCTCGTTCCTACTCTAGATCCAGGTCCCGGTCCAGGTCCAAATCCAAGTCGAAGTCCAAATCCAAGTCAAGAACCCCCAGAAGGAGCAAGTCCAAGTCACCCTCCAGGTCACGCTCCCGCTCCAGGTCCAAGTCCAGGAGTCGGACCCCACCTTCCAAGAGGGAGTCGAAGTCCCGGTCCAGGTCCAAATCCAAGAGTAGATCTAAGTCTCCAGAGGGCAATGGAACAGAGTCTTAACCCGAGCACGGACGCAGCATGACGGTATACAAGGGGGAGAGGGTGGGTTATACAATTTGCCTTGAAAATACTTGTTTGACGCACCTCGGTTACCCATTGGGTTTTTTATTTCTGCACTCTTCATGAGCAGTTTAGTCGTGTGCACATGGGAAGTTTGCAGAATGCTGTCAAAACGAGATTAAGATTGGCAGTTTTGAAAGTGGACTTGTAGCTATGTGTGTGCTTTACTTTTCACTCAAATTAAAGCACACGCGGGCAACAGGTTTGTCGTTGATTCCAAATTGGGGAGCTTGTGTGTGATAAAGGGATGGGGTGGTTGGTTGTGACGTGGGATTCTCAATCAAAACGTTCACCTAAATGTGGAATTCTTTCCTCCAAGCTGCTGAGTCCTGTTTGCAAAGAGAGGAGGAGATGGGGGTGTGGCAGTTTGAGAGCAGTTAGTGTGTGACCCGCCCATGTGACCTGCCTGTTGCTGAGAGCGTTGGCAGTTGCTAAGGAGCAGGTCACCAAGGCAACGGTGGTTGCTATGGAGCAGGCGTCATGCCGGTGTTTCGAGCTGTCAGTTGGTGTATGAGGTGGTGGTGAGGTACGTTCACGGGGGCCACAGGCAGACGCACTGAGTGTTCCCCCCTGTGCCTGTGGTCTCCTCCGCCTCTCGTTAAGGGAACCAACCCCGAGGTTTGTTTGTTTCAAATATGCCCGAGTGTAACTCTCTTGTTTTTGGGGGAAATTGGGCCAGGAAAGGTGTACAAACAAATGTAACGGTTTGTAAAGAATATGAGTCTAAATTAAAGGAAAATATCCACAAAGTGGATTTGATATGTGATGGGGAGCTGAGATATGCATCGTGTTTGAATATGCAGATCAGCTGTAGGAGTTGAGATGATTAGCTCCTTCTGCATTGCTCTTTTTAACTCTGTGGTGTCTTTCCTTCCAGATCTCAGATGATTTGAGCCTTTTGCTGAGGACACCTGGAACAGTCTCACCTTGAACAAGTGGACACCACTATTCCCACTGAATGCAGACTGAAAGGTTATTGGAGCTTGGTCTAAAATGTTTTAAATGTTTGGTTTGACTTAATCTGGCTAAACTAATTCTGTAACAAAGACAAAATAATTTGTAAATCTGAGTACATTGAAAGGGATTTGTAAGGTATTTTTTCAATTAAAGTTCTTTTTCTTTTCATTTGACTTGTACTTTAATAAAATTCCTCTGAATTCAAATAGATTTCTTTCACTGAGGTTCCATGTTTGACACTTTCCAGTTTGATATGAAAGTTTTATTTACAAGGTTGATGTTTATGAAAAGGGGGGGGTGTCATGTTCAGTGTTCATTTACAGTTATGATATGCCATCCCACAACTTGGAGACAAATAAATGGCCTCCTGTACAGTGATTCTAAAAGCCACTTAAATTGGTGACCTGCAAATCCAGCAGCATAGCTTTTTTCTTCTCTGTCCAATCCTTTTTTTTTTTTTTTTTTAAGTCTTCTGTCTGGTTCAAAGTTGCTTCCCTATGACTCTAACCCTCTTTCTTGTGTATCTTTTGTGCACTAGGCGCAGTTGTGTAGCAGTTGAGTAATGCTGGTTAGCTGTTAAGGTGCGGTGCAGTGCGGTGGTGACATGGTGTGGCGTGTTGCGGTGCTGAGTGCCCGGCGCTGTTCCGGGGCTCGACCCTTCGCTGCCGTTTGCCGGTTTGTAAGCTCACAAGTGTGGCAGATCATCCATCCTCTCCTGTCTTGTGACTTCTCCCTCCATGTGCTGTACATGCCCTCTCTTCTTTTCCTTTTTTCCGTTCCTCAACTCTCCTGTGTCCCTCCCCCGTGGTTTATCCACTGTGCAACTGATCTTGCTCGCTTTTTGAAGCTGGTCCACTATGGCAACTCGTGGAGGGTTTAAAGGGCAGTTGTGGCTGCTTTTGGATCTTTTTTTTGTTTTGCATTCTGTGAATCTGATGTCTTGTAATTGCTTCAGGTGAATACCAATAAACATTTTTGTTCTAAATCTGTTTCGAGTTTCTGAACTTCCGTGGCAGCTGGGTTCTTCATATAGGAAAGTCGAGCGTCGGAGGGCTTATCCACTCAACGGGTCCAGCATTGGGAAGGAAACTGATATATGTTTACATTTTGATGGGCTCCTTTGGTGAAGAACAGGCATCTCGGCAGCAGTCCAGATCACTGTAAACCAAAGTGTTTTCCCAATGGGGATATTCTACCTACAAAATAAGTTATTCAAAAGAGAATTGTTGGTATCCCATACAGACAAACCCCCAAAGGTTTAACTTCTACTCCTGAACGGTGTTTATTTCTAATAAAAACACGGTGAAGTGAGAAAAACAAACCACAACCCTTAAATGTATGTCAACACAACAGGACTAAAAAATCCCACTGAGGAAATTTATTTTAGACTGATATATCACTTCTTTATGATGCTCAATGTTGCTCAACCGCAACATGACTTTTGTTGTACTCAGAATTAAATAGGTGTCTTTTCTCTAAATATTCAGTAATACTGTTCTATTTAGGATGGGGTTGTTTGATCAAATAGAGGGGGGAAACAGGACTATGTCTAGAGCCAATGAATTTGTTTTTATTCAAACTTTTCTCTAAAGAAAGGGCCCATTAATGGCGGAAGGGTTTGCCTTGCTGTAATTCATCCAGATCAACCATTTGTGTTACCGTGAGCAGATGGGAGTGATCTGATTTGTTTTTTTTGTTTTTTTTTGTGGACTTTCCCGTTTTAATCTCTGCGGCGGGCTCGTCCTCGGGTGGGAACACTTTGCTGTAAACCGGCTTGACTTTGTCAGCCTGTACACGGGTTCTGTCACAAACCATTTGAATGAGACGAGGCGAGCCCTGTCCCTGCAGATCAGATTAAGGGCGCGCGCGCCGGGGCACGTTGCAGCGCGCCGTGCCAGCCCACCTGTCCAGTCCAGTCCGAGTCCAAGGGGCCGGTCCGGGCGTCACGTGGGGGCGTGGCCAAGGGGGTGGGGGGGGGGGGGTGGGGGGGGGTGTGACGTCCAGATCTGCCAAAGAGATTGTGAAGTATCCCGTAAAACGCCGGTCGTTAGCGTTGATGTCTGGCGGGGATTATCCCGGGCAGCGACACGGCTGCGTGACCGTGCGCGCGGCGACGCCACTCGAAACCCACCCGCGATGGATGCAACTTTCCTCCTGTCGGCCCTCATTTTCACGCTGCTCGCCGTCGTGGTCGCGACGTCGCTGCTGAAGGGCTCCTCTCCCTCGGCGGAGCTCGCCAACGCGCGGAGCTATTTCCGACTCCGCGTAAACCCCGCCGCCGGTGGGGGGGGATCAGAGCCGGCCAAGCTCAACGGCCACGTCCCCGAGAGGAAGAAGAGGAAGAAAAAGCAGGAGGAGGTGGACGACTGGACCGATGTCAGCGGGAGTGCTCACGATCACTGGGACGTGGTCAAGTCTGTTCAGTCGGTAAGTAGCCCGTAATCTGCCGGCCATACGCAAACAAGGGGGAGTTTGTGGTGGTTAAAGGGTTTCATAATGCTTATGGACAGGAGTTAAGATGCCTGGCAGGCCCGCGTGTGTGTGTGCCACTTTATGTGGAGGGAGGAGTAAGATAAGATACAAGCTGCCCTCACATTTGATAACAAATACCCTCCCGCAAAGTTACTTTCCAGAGTATACTTTCCAAGTAAATACAAAGAAGTGCAGTGTTTCCAGTCAACATGGAGTGATTTTTAATCATATATGTAATTAGTTTTGATTAGTCTTTCATAGCAAAGGCACTAAAGAGCCCGGGCCAAAGGTCAGTGCCTCTGTGACCTGTTATTGTCTAAATCCCATCAGCCGCCTCCTTTCAGAGAGATTCAATCTGTGGAAAACGATGGTTTGAGGCCACCTGACCCCATAATTGTCCGACAGGAGGAGGAATACTCCCACCTTCACACAGAGGAAGCAGCCAGAGCGGAGCGCTCCTCCACATCCAGCCTCCCTGTGCCCAATTCTGGAGCCGTGCGCACGAGCTTAGATGTAGACGCGTCGTCCGAGGCCTCGTCAGAAAGGAGCCGTAGGTCGCTCATTGGACTCTCTGATACGGAGCTCCTAAAGTGTGCTTTCTCTTACCCTCAGAAAGAAGGAGCCACAGACAACCCGGGAATAAAGGGTGAGTGCTTTCCCCCACTCGGAAAGACTGATCGGTGAACTGTTATGAGATTTGTCTTATTTGTGTGCTCCCTTTGTGTTTTTGAGCAGAGAAGACAGAGTCGGATGAGAATGATTCCTTGAAGTATGTCCCTGGAAAGGCCAGATCCCACCACATGGAGGTGATGATGTCCAAAGAGGAGCTGGAGGAGGAGCAAAGGTGGGCCAAAACTGTCGTTAGAGCTCATCTGTAAAAGAGTAAATACGAGCTTGTGCACCATTTTTCGGCGTTCGTGTGCTCTCCCGTGTCACCCCGACAGCGAATAAGCTCTGAAAGCGTCAGCAGCCGGGACACTTCCTCCCCCTCCCCTTTCACTGCCTCCTGTCTTCCGGTCTCACTCTGTGTCTGGTACGGTCATCCCATGCCTCAGCCTCAGGCTGGACCGGGTAAATCTAAACTGACCGTCTGCCAGGCATTAACTGGCCGTCCAATAAATGACAGCAGGCTTAAAGAAACTACTCAAGGTGTTCGCTCGCTACTTCGGGAGCCTTTTTCTCCCCCACTAGTGCATGCTCTTATCCTTACAGGATCCACTCCAACACACACTCTAACTAGCTGTGTACCGGACAGAAGAGCGGATATGTTTTAAAGTATTGGTTATCTTAAAAGAGTCGCTTTTTATGGGAATTGTATGATGACAATAAGAAGCCAGGCCAATTTGATTTCAGATTTGACTCAAACCTGACTCAGCACTTCTTTATCCTCATGTGGCCATGAAGCGACTGATGTGACTGTAGAGTGTTGCTTATCCGATCCCACATTTCCTCCCTTCGCTGCCATGTCATTTCCACTTAGACATGTCCTCCTCCTCTGGTGTGACACAGAAGGTGTTGATTGCGTCCCTTCTTTCTTTACGGGCGTTTCTCCGTTTTGCCACATGAGGGAGTAAGTGTAAAACAAAACTCTGACAACACATTGATTCTTGAATCCAGTTGACCTCCAAAGAATAGAAAAAAACTTGAAAGACGATGGGAAAAGTATGCTGCGATTAAAGAAATGTATCTAGTCGTATTCCTTTGAGCATAACAACTTCAAGAAGCAGCAGAAAACACCAGTCCGTGCTTCATCCATCCATTATTGACCGCTTATTCCCTAGGTCCTGGTTCCCCCAGGACTCGAACCCAGAACCCTATTGCTGTGAGGCAATGGTGCTAACCACCACACCAGTCTGTGCTTCATTTCATGTAATATTCATTATATTTTTATATATATCAAGAATATTTTATCAAATAAGACGTTAAACCCAAAGCTAGCGGGAGTTTTGCCCCTAAGTATGTTTAATCATAAATATTTAAGAAAATGGTTTTCATCTTTCAAACTCTGAAGTAAGAATGAAAGCTAATCCTGAAAACCAACAGCAAACAACACTCATTCTAAATGTTTTTTTTATACCAACGGGTTGATTCCCTGTTGTCTCTAAATAAATATTGTCTCTATATACTTTTCACCTGGAAACGTTTGAGCCTCGGTAAACCTGTTAACCAACACTTGAAAGCATTCATGCCACATAAAGGTTCAGGTCAGGTCCGGTTTATGTTTGCTGAAGAAGTTATACAGCCATTTTATTGTCACACCATAAAACCTTATGAATCGGCCTATATAATAGTTTGTTGTGGATTTTTTCAGTTTTTCTAAAGAATTTTTTTTTTTTTTTTAAATGTCTCTGTTTGGTGTGTTCCTTGTTTGTTCGACAATGGGCTGCGGGCGTAATGGACCCTTGAGGATTCTTTCCGTGCTCTTCTCTCCAGGGTCCAGCGGGAGCAGCTCGCTGCCATTTTCCAGCTGCTAAAAGACAACAAGGAGACGTTCGGAGAGATGTCCGAGGGAGACTTGGAGGACCAGCTCCGACTTTATTCCATCTGAGAAGACTCCAGGGAACCATCTCACCCCAGAGAGGGATCTCCCTCTTACATTCCCTCAGACGGACTTATCCACCACATCAAATACACAAATAAACACATTCCCAGTATTCACCCCATGTGTACCGTGTACGATGACAAGCTCATTTGGCTTTCAAATTCTGACCTGCAGTGTACACAGCCCAGCAGAGGGAGCAACGGAAAGATTCATCTATTTCTGTTAGATTGATCAGAACTAGTTATGTGTAATAAAACAGGTTATTGTGACATCTTGTGTGAATTCCTGTCTCTGTTTGCTGTTGAATGAATGGCACTGCCTTTTAGCTGCTTTGTCCAATCATACCTGTTGGAGGCAGCCAAAGGTTCCAAAATGTTTTCCGCTTAACCTTCCTTATTGGTGTATGAGATAGGTGTGGCATAGGACACATCTCATGTGTGAGCCATGCTATAAATGACATGTATTTTAATGAGTACCTGCCACAAGCAGCAAAGCCTCATCTTCTCAGGGATGGCGACTGGGACTGCCCAGATTTTTGGTCTGCTTGTTGTGGTATCAGTCACTGTTCTGTTTTTTCTTCTGACATGGGAACATTCAAAGAGCGTCAGGTAAGGCGCACTCTACGCTACTTAACAGTCCAAATAAAGAAATCAATTCAACCTGCACCATGACTTCATTTTTCATTGCTGGTCTTCTGTCTAGGATGTGGACACTCCGCAGATCCAGTGACTACAGTGTTTTCTGGCAAAAGGATGGCAATTCTTTCACCTCAGCACATGTTCCAGAGACTCCAATTCCCATCCTTTACAAAAAAAACTTCACAAAGTTGCCACGTTGGGATTTTGAGGATATTTACAACCAGGATGCCCCACCTAGATTAACAGTAAGCATGTTGAAACAAAACGGGATAGAAAGCTTACCACCTTATTCTACCTCTAAGGGTGTGATTCTGAGCTTTTTATTGTATGTTTTCTCGTGTCATTTTTTCCGTTAAGTGTCCGATTAACCAAAGTAAACCCATGTGATCTAAGTCAAAGATCTTTATTTTTACCAAGGCTCGTGTCGTATTTACTAAAGATAAAAATGCTCTCTTCAGAACTTCCACGAAATAAGTTGTTTGAGCCCAAATCGGGCTTTCGTTCGAAGCTCACCTCTTTTATTACATTCAGACCTGCCCGGAGTCTCTGCGAAACACCAAAGAAGAGTTCTTTCAGAAGGCTTTTCTACCCAACATCCGTTTGTACCTGCACAAAGACAACTTCAACATGAGCGAGTGGAATAGGCTGTCCCATTTCAACAACCCTTTCGGTTTTATGGAATTCGAAAACAAAGGTGGGTGTTCCTTAGATAAAATAGAGTTAGAGTTAAAATGTAAGCTCTTTACTGTAGTCGGAGATTACGTTTTGGGTGGGTCAAAATTACATCGAGGACGCAATTTCTCGTGAGAATACCAACTTTCGCACGAGACCCATGAATTTGTTTGGGACGTGAATGAATATTTCCATGTGAGCAAACACTGTCAGCTCATTTCAGCCTCTGTGGTCACTGGACCTTAAAAAAATAGAAATGGACTCTTTTCTTTTTCTTGGTTTGAGTCAATTATCACTTCAGAATGTTTAATGACATGTTTGCTGACAGATCTCAGTAGATTCCAATCTGTATGACATATTAATAAAGCACAAAATGAGCAAATTCAATTCAATTCAATTTTATTTATATAATACAACACTTATCTCACAGAGCTTCAGACCCTACTCTGAAGTTATTTATAGAGGCCCAACAATTCCAAATTTGTCACTATGTACATTTTTTTTTTTTTCAGAGGTCATGAGTTCTATAAAGCTGATTCCAAAACCAAATGAGCCCCTGCTTTCTCCAAAAGAAGGCGGCGATGGCTGTGTACACTGTGCAGTGGTGGGGACCGCAGGAATCCTAAATGGCTCAAAAATGGGGGCTGAGATTGATTCTCATGATTATGTCTTTCGGTAAGAAAGAGGGGGGAAATGATTCTCTTTTCCACGTTTGTTCTTAAAGCATGGCCAGTCAGTAGAAACATTAAGAATTCCATGTCTTCGTGGATCCCATGAATACAGAAGTGGGACCTTATTTTTATATATGGTGCAAAAAAAGACATATTGAACATACTTTTGAACCGATGAAATGCCAAATATTACCCTGAATATGACACTAAATGGAAAACTGACTATCTATAACCGTAATCAGCCAAGCAGCTGTAGCTTGCAGATGATTTTTTTAAACATTCCTGATATGAAATTTTCTAATGTGCAAAATACATATTAGACCATTTTTCAGGTTTTCTTGTGTGTGTTACGGATCGCTACCATGGTGAAGAGTCAGTAAGGGTGTGTCAAGACGTTAAACTGGGCATTGTGTATTGATTCAGAAACAATGCCTTTCTCTCTGAGTCAAAACAAACATTAAATAGACCAGAGCAAAGTGGAAAAGTGCTTTGGGATATTTTAGAAGTGATGGAGAGCCTGTCATCCAATGCACATCCAGTTTGGACCTGCTCAGCAACTTCTCTTCACCCTGGTCCATTGTCACAGCTCAACATATTTGGTTCATTCTTTACTTTCCATTTTCACCTAGTGCATTAAGTATGAAGGTATTGAGGCTTTTTCATTTTCTGCTTTCTATTTTTACATGCAGTCTATACAGTTCATTTGCATCCTCATTCAAATAATTATGGCCAATGCATTCATCACAACCAAAGTCATTTTCGGTCCAACGGGGTAATTTTATCTTAAACAATAGCTCTTTGTCGGGTCTTTGCTGACACATTTCCCATACCCCTCATTAACCATAATAACCCATAATGGATAATGGTCCTTGAAAGGGTGCCTAACTTTGTAATGACAGCGGTTCATTATTATTTATTATATTGCCTGAACACGAATATGTAAACAGTGTTGGTTTTCTTCTCCATTACTGGTACTACCTGTTACTTTTGCGGCACTAGCCCAGCTGAGGTCCCAAGTGAGTCGAGCTGATTCTCCATGGTGACTGGTCACTATAAGTGGGCGTTAACAAATCTCCTCAACAGTGCATACAGACATTAATGTACCTCATTGTTACACAAAATAGTTTAGATGACCTAATGTGAGGGTGAATACTAGATGTGAACCTGTTTTTCAATGGGCTGCTCATTGGTGTAGTGGTTAGCCCCCTGATTCAAATCCACTCATCCAATGAAAAAACGCAAGTCCTTAATTCCTACAAACTATTTTTCAAGGCTATATGTTTTCCAGATGTAAATTTCTAATTTCATCTGTACTATATCTTCTTGACATTATGTGGGGACAGAAAGACAGTTATGCATATCCATATTTGAAAAATGACCTATTCTGTATTGTTTGTGTGACAGGATGAATGGCGCAGTTGTCCAGGGTTATGAGGAAGACGTAGGGAACAGAACATCTGTGTATGTTCACACAGCCCACTCCATAACTTCATCTCCTTATATTTTCAAGAAGTATGGATACACATCAGCCCCTCATGATGAGGTACTCAAAAACTACAGCAACAGTGTAATATAGCTCATATTTTACACATGATGAAAATGATTTTTATGTCCACTTCTTCGTCTTTGCAGGGTATAAAGTATGTCCTCATTCCTGAGGGGATGAGGGATTTCCAGTGGCTCCAGGGTCTTCTCAAAGGAGAAAAGGTCTCTTCCGGGCCATACCACAACCGAGAGTGAGCAGTTGAACATTTCATAAGCAATTTGTTTGTGGACTATAAATATAAACACGAAAAACACATCCCACAATTTTACAAAAGAGCTTTATGCTGCTTACTATCACAAAGGAAATTGATACTATGAACAGACAGGCCAAAAGTAGAGTGTGTGAATCCACTTCTGTGTTTGAAAAGAATTCTAGGTACCAATTAAAAACCCTCATGTTAAATTTAATGTATTACTATCAAAAACACAAATAAAAAAAATAAGGGTTCACTATCAAATTATCAAGGCAAAAACATTTTCGTTGTGTATCATATTGTGTCTTATCATGTGCTGTACGCAAATGTGCTATATAATCTATGAATCTATAAATCAACTAAATTACTCCTTTGTCCAAATTAATGGTTATAGGTGTAATAATTATGATGCATCATTATTTTTATAATTGTCTCTGTTCTGACCCTCCAGGCCCAGAACTTACTATTCAGGGCAGTACAATGAGAGCCGGTTCTACGTTCTGCATCAAGACTTCCTTCGATATGTTCGGAACAGGTTAGCCTCCAAACGTTTCCTGGTTTAAAACTGAGAACTTTAAATAACTGGGTTTAAAAGCAACTGCCATCCAGAAATACTGCCCAGGATGCCTCGTAAAACAATTAAAAAATGTTGTCTAAATGTAAATGTTCTTTTACAGTTAAGTGTGAAGTCTTTTTGTTTAGAAATGTAGAAGTTTTAAACTTTTAAATTGGCCGTTGTGGGGTAAAAGTTTATAATTGATATTCATTGATTTATAGCCAAAATACTTGATTATTACTTGATTTCTTTTTTGAGAAAAATTTAGTCTATTTCTGATACTTAACTCTTTTTTTACTTTAAATTTTCAAATAGAATTCAGACCCAGCCACTGAGATGTAGGAATTAGGGTTATAATTCTAACTTTAAATCAGAAGAATGAAAAACTTGTTATAATCAACTAGATCATAGACAAAAATTGGAAAATATAAAGCATAATATATGTTGGAAAAGTACTAAAACCCTCTGAAGACCCCAACTTTTGACCCAAGCACCATGGAAATCTGAATTGAAAGACCTCATAAGATCCGTTCATCCAAGGGTACACAGTCAAGACCTACACAGAAAATCGCTTAAATAGTGGATATACATAGTGTGATCCTGAAAATTGTGTGTTCGAAGCAGTTTTGAGATCTGGTTACAACCCATGCAGGAAATAAAAATATACAAAGATACAGTAAGCCAGAAGAACCGGTCTGGTAGTATCTCTTGGAGTTAAGATTTCATGAAATGAATTCATTTGTGAAAAAAAGGATATGTTGAAATTCAAGTCAAGCAAGTGCTGTAACAAGCTCAAATTTGAGGAACGTGGCTTTTGCACAGCAGACTGAGACTCCTATTGATTTTAATATTCAGCAAACACATACATTAAATCATCATCTCAAGGAAACTAGACGGGCAATATGACTACAGAACAATATCCTTCTCATAGTATATAGAATTTAAAGAAGGCTTAAGTCCAAACAGGATAAACCTCCTCTTTACAAACAAAAGGAATAGAAAGAAGCTTATTCGTAGTGCGCAAATCAACCATAGCTTATCCGGCAACAGCCTCCAAGTACCAAAGAAAACCTATTAGCAATTGCGATAAATAAACAACAAGAATAAATGTTAAAAATATCTATGGTGATGACGTGTGGTTGTAGTTTTTGGAATTATTTCATTTCAATGTGATTCCACAAAATTCTTGTTACTATTTGTTCTAAGGTTTGGTCACTTTTTTATTGAAATTATATTTCCATTTTCTCATTTACATTACTCAGAAACTGTTCCGAAACAACTTGCTTTGTGTGATAAAGGTGTGGCTGAACTTTTTCGACCACACCTTTTGTCAATACTCAGATTGGTTGACTTCAGTTTGACTAAATCAATGGAAAGAAGGACAGCTTGCTCTGCAGATTAAACATGTTTTGCTCATTGCATTACATGACAATGCATACACAGCTGTTTTTCTTTTGTCGTGACATCCATGTAAATAAAACACTTCACAGAGCCCCAGAATATATAAACAGATGACTTCAGTTTGCCGTCAAATGTCAAGGGAGGACCCCTTCGATCTTCCACCTAAAAGGCCAATGTGATTCTTCAAGGTGTGCCTTCAAGTCACAGACTGTTACCTATAAAAATAATCGGCACACCTCATGTCCACATTATAAAGTGGAGTTACAGGCTCCATCATCTGGACTGTTTTCTGCTTATGTCAACTGGTGGATTGCACCATCCTGCGTGATGAAGAAAATTAGTCATCTGGGCTTTCCACAATTGCTTTATATTGAAATCTTCACATTTGCATTTACGCTATAGTTTAATTCGGGTGTCTTAAGTGATTCTTCAAAGTGTGGTTTTCGGCCACAGACTGGTAAAGATAATTGTAACTATATTTTTGAACACAAACAAAGTGGCTGGGCTGAGCTGAGTCATTGTAAGTTATCTCATCAAAAGCATTGCTTAAGAGTTTGAAAGTTTAAGTTTCTTTCATAGTATCTATTCTTTTAATTTACATATGTTTAGTTACCTAAATAATATAAGATCGGCATCCTTTTTTATGTTGTTTTTTTTTTCATTCAAACATTCAATGAAATTGATAATAAAACATTAAGCTCATTTACAAATCAACTAATTTACAAATCAATCTGTATTTACTTGTCAAATTCTCTTTGTCCACAGGTTTTTAAAATCACCTAGTCTCAATTCTACCCACTGGGCGATTGTCAGACCAACTAATGGGGCATTTGCTCTCTTTCTGGCCTTGCACACCTGTGACACAGTGAGTTTGTATATCTCCAACTTTTTCGCAGCATTTTCAAACACACAGTAGTATTGATCTATTTAGGATAAGGGCATTTCAAGTTATCCAGGAGTCCAGACAGATGATCTCAATTATATCTATCATATCCTTGTAATGATCAGAGATATCACATTTACATTTATTTATCTTTATATACAATACATTATGCTGGAGATGCTTTAAATGTATTAATTTGTTTCTGTTTTTTGCATCCTCAGGTGAGCGCATATGGATTCATGACTGAAGATTATAAAAAGTATTCCAACTACTATGTTGAAAGGTTCCTTAAAACCAATGTAATTTTCTACGCCAACCATGACTACATTATGGAGAAAAATCTGTGGCAGAATCTAAATGACAGAAAAGTAATGAAGCTTTATCAAAGAACATCGTCGTGAGAAGAGATTTAAACAAAAATTTTGTGGGACTAGGTTGCTGTTGCTGTAAAGGGGCTGCAGTTTGGAGTCATTTTAGCGTAACATTTATGTATTTGCTTACTCTGATGTTACTTGGGATTCGTGAGGTAAAAAAAGTGGGTAAGTTGTTACTGTTTACATTACGTTTTAAGTTAGTAACCAATCATGGTGGTAAAGTTTTCATTTATCTTTTGAGCCCAGTGCGAACGCTCAGCATGGGACAACTTCATTAGACTCTGCTTGTAAAATACCTTTTTTTCTGTCTGGACCAGAGCCAGTTATTTTACTGTTCCAGTGAAATACATTGTTAGTTAATGCTCAAAACGCTCTGCCACCTCTCACTGTGTACACATGTGCACATCTGGGTGGTTAGCCTGGGGGGATGCTGTGATTACAAAAGAGTCAACATTTTTCGGAACAGGTTTTGACATTTTAAGCTTTCAGTCAACATTGTATCATTTCCGTTGGAAAAACAAGTTTGCATACATTTTTATATTATCCATCATATCAACACAATGTTTACGTCTCTTCCCACGGTCATGATTCATACAGAGTATGGCAAATGAAGGTATAAGTTACTTACTCTCACAGGATTATATGCAATGTCTTCTAAGTTTGATATCTGAATAGATGCACTGTAGAATTGTGAGTGGTGACTTTAAAGTGAAGTCAGCTATGAGGAAAGACGATTTCTTGAATTCCGCCTAAAAATGTGAACTTTTATCAGACTAAACTAAACTAGTTGACATTTGATTAAACAAAATACACAACTTCTATGAAATGCAAAAAAAGATTAATGTGTTTCCAACAGTTAACATCTCTTTTTAAATTAAGTCTAATACCGCATCAAGCATTATTCAGGTTTTATTCAGGTTACCATGACTTCTCTCATATTTACTTACATGTACATTTCTTATATTTTTTAAAATTATGAGACCTTTTGTATTATAATACATTTTACTGTTATATATACCATAAATAAGCCATATATATACCATTAATTTTTACTTTTCAGTGGTTTGGTTCATGCCTATTATTCCTGGGTTTGGTTGTAAAATTAAAGTAAGGTAGTCAGGCAGTGACTTTTGTATACAGGGCGTAGGAGGAGGTTTCTTTGGAAAACTGGTTTGCCCCTACATTTCCTGTTAACAAAAACATTTTTTTTAAAAGGAACTGCCCATTCCTTTTGTGACAGATTGAAATAAAAAAAAAAACAACTGATAAGAAAACACAGATCTATTGTTTGTATTATTGTTATTGCATCCTACTTTGAGAGATGAGTGAAGCAGGTTGGAAAGATTATCCTCAGTGTCACCTAATAAACTGCCTCATTAAAGTGCGTGTGGGTTGAAAATGTAGATAAAGTAGAACTGATACGAAAATAATCTTTTAAGTCATTTGATTAAGTATGTGCTCCTGAACGAACCATCAAGCGCTCGACAAATAATAAAACCATTAGTCAAGTTTACATTCCCCGACAAAATATTGTACGCTTCCCCATTATAACGTATCGTTGGTTAAAATATTGCGTAAATATATACTATTTCATTCGAATTGGTCTATTATACCGAGTTCAAAGAGCGCTTACGATAACCGTCCGTATTTCTCAAAATGCAAACACTAAAGCCTCTCCTGTGTATTTTACTTTGTCAAACATGAAGTTGACATAAAGCAGAAAATAATTCGATTTTGGTGCAACGACGGCTTTGAAAACATGCAGGTTGGACGCAGCTGATAAACAATGCACTGATGTCCCATAATGCATTGCGACCCGGTTAGAAACGATATCAAACAAACCGTAAACAGCAAACGTCGTACTAATACGCGTTGATGTTAATTTTCCTACGTCTAGAATCTGACTATCGGCATTGTGTTTTACTTTCCTGTTTCTTTGGCTGAGTTGCTTTTGGGAAACCGTCACTTTAAATGGTATTGTCGTAGGTTAACAGGGCCTTCTTTGCTCAGTGTAGTCAGATCACTCATGTTTCTCTTCAGATCGTATAAATCTTTCGCCTTTTACTAAAGATTTCCGTGGAGAGGAACAATATGAGTTCCAACTAATTTTTTGACGCCCGACAAAAGCTGGGCTTCCAAAGAATGTCAATAAAAAATAGAAAATCACCTGCATCAGCAGATGTCAAAATCCATTTCATCATTTGGAAAGCACAAGCATTGAAGGTATGTAAGTCTGTTAACGGTATCATATTAGTCATAAACTGGATTTTCAGATCTCGGCGACCCAACGGCTGTTTTCTGCTTTAGTGAACTGGTGGATTGCATTAGTCTTCAATAACTTCCCATAAATGTTTAAAACACTGACGTTTGCATTCACACCAAATATTCATTTAGCGGTTGTGGCTGAAAACAGAGTTGATGTCTCAGTGTTCAGCTCTCCAAAGTGCTGAGTGCTTTCGGACCCCGCAACAGAAAAAGAGGCTGGTCAGAAAAGTATTGACAAAAATCAAAGGCTGCACGAGCGTGTTTTCACCACGGGACGACTGCACGTGCACGGTAGTTCAAACCTCCCTTTAAACATCTTTAATTATCATTTTAGATTAGCTCTGAATTACTCCTTCTGCTGGCCTGTGGTCTTTCTTGTCTTTATTTGTATATTTTGCTCATATATTTGTATATTACTGTGTATGTATGTCACTTGTTCAAACTGATGATGACAGAAGGACTTTTTCCCTCCACCACTGCTCTCTGAGATGCTTACAGGAGCCCCTGTAAGCACCTGACACTCACATGGCGCCATCTTGTAGGTGCAGCAGGTTTTAATTTGCATTTAGAATTATGATTTTTTGACCGGCTTCTCTTTGTCAGCCTCTAAAAGCGTGACAGCAAACT